GTATGTACAAGGTAATTAATACCAAACGACGGAAAATATTTAATTATCATGGGCGTCTTAAAGTGGGGGCTAAGGTTAAGAAATTTTTTTTTAGTCCCAGGAAGCACCGCTCGACCTTTCTCACGCCTATGTCAAAAAGCCTAAATCAATTCCTAGAGATGGACCTGGCAGATTTTATTAATATTATTCCTAAAAAAATTAAAAATAAATGCACAATAATTTTCACGAATTGATATTTTTAGTATATATATATAAAATAACATGAAACTGTTTACTTAAGCGGTTGTAAAGTATCTTAATTAAAACGTAAAGCCTTTCAATGAACCTTTCGAACAATATGTTTGAAACGAAAAAAAGGTAGGGTGGATCGAGGGTTGGCCCTTAATGTTTTGTGCCCGTCATATAACGTATTTATATAAAACGAATCGGATTTAAACCCATTGAGAATTCCCCCTTACACTTTTTAAATTACTTGTCTGTGCTGTATGTAACACAACAAAAATAATGTCAATTATACTTTATTATAACCTGTGCTGAAAGCTCTAGTGACCTTTTCTGATCACATTTTGAAGGATATATATGGTCTTTAAACTTTTCACATTTTCAAAGTTTTATATACCAGCCAATGTTAACCAAACTTGCCACAAGGCATTTTTTTGGTAAACGCTATTCAATTCTATTCAAATGAAGGGCGACGTCTTAGAGGAGATAATTCAGAAAATATGAAAATTTGCAATTGATGACATGTTTTAAAAATCATCTCAAGAAACACAGTGCCAAGAATGTTGAAACTTATGGGAGAAAATTTCAAGAAGTGTAGATTCAAGTTTGTTCACATATACTCCCATCCCCTTTAAAGGTAGATTGGGACCACTTATGGATTTAATGGATTTAAACTTTCAATATTGAGCTGATTTCTGCTATTTTCTTAGCCACGGTGCTCAGGTAAGCGATGTAGCCCATGGGCCTCTTGTAGTTCCACTGCGTTAGTACAATATAAATATATATTTATTGAATCGCATAATTATTAAAAGTTGTCTTAGCATTCGAAAAGTTGTCCCATTGCCAAATCGCACCTGTTTTTTTTTTACTAACCCCCCCCCCCCATATATGGATATGTTGCTGTTTGCAAAAACTCTGCGTACGTAGTGCTCAGTATGGGTTCCCTGTTATGGGTATTCACATGTTCTTACAGAAATCTCATTTTATAAAGGATTGCGAAAATGTGCTTTTTAAACTTTTCTACATAATGCACAGTATTTAAAAATTCTGCAGCAGTGCATGTATGTCGTATATGAGCAATCAGAATGGATTTAATGTGTGCTTACTGATAATTAAAAAATCAGAGACTGAGTGATAAATAAAAAAATACCTGATCATATTTTAAACATCACTGATGCAGTAGATTGAAATACATATATTCAGCCACTGAAACGTTTCCTGGAGAGAGAGAGAGAGAGAGAGAGAGAGCTATTATACATGTGTGTATTTTTTAAAGCAAAACTATGCACCCGTTCTAATTTAGTATTTTGACATAATTATTGACAATTGTGAATAGGCATACTTCTCTTCTTGACAGATGTTCTTTTATACGGCTGTTTGGGGTATACTAAGTTCTCAAGTCTCAAGTTCATGGTTTGATACATAAACGGAATATTTCTCTTTTCCACAGAAAAATCATTTCACATCAACAGTACTAGTGATTTGAAACAAATTAAATTGATCATGTACATCATTTTATATCGCATGTATACCGTGCAATATACACAAATGGTAAATGCTATAAAATTAAATTTTCATGGCTTTAATTTATTATGGACTCTAAAAAATGCAGATAATATAAATAATGCTCTTTTCAAACTGTTTAATAAGATTTGTGTTTCTGTCCCCTTTTGTAAACCCGTTAAACGTCGGCGATGTGTATTGCAGCTGACCGACTTTAGCGTGGGAGAGACATCGATAATCGGTTACGTCCTTTGATGTGGCGAGAATGTGACGTAGTATTTAAAGTTCTCGACAAGCAAAGCGTCAGCTCGTCACAAACAATGTAATCCTTTAGGGGTTTTGCGATTTGCTATAAGCCCTATGTTGACCAAACTTGCATGGATTATAAATCTAAGGATGCACACTGCCGGGCTTGCTTCGGATGCTGAATCTGACCTACATTTTCCGGTTGAGTGAACAAGTAAAAGTTTTTGGTGCAGGTTTCATTTCCAAGTATCTATGAGTTCTTTAATGACCAATCTTGCATGGATGATACATCTTAGGATGCATACTACCAGGCTTGCTTCGGATGCTGAATCTGACCTACATTTTGTGGATGAGTGAAAATGTTAGTTTTTGATGTATGTTTCATTTCCAATTAACTATGAGCCTTATAATATGCAAACTTGCATGGACGATACATCTTAGGATGCACACTAATGGACTTGCTTCGGATGCTGAATTCGACATATATATTTTTCAGATAATAGACCAGGTTAAAGTTATGGTTGCAGGTCTATTACCAAAAAACTTTAAGGCTTTTATAACATTGTATAAACCAAACTTGCACAAATGTTGCATCAAGAGATGAAAACTCAAATTTGCTTTAGATGCTGAATTACATTTTTATGAAGAAGAACTACTTTAAATTTTTTATGTTGGTCTACTTCAAAGTATCAGATCAAAATTGCTTAGATATTTTCATTTTTGGAATGTACATTTTTTGTTGGTTAATTGTGTGACTTTGCCTTATTTAAAGACAACATTCGTTGAGGTGAGCTCTGTAATCTCTGATTACCTATGTTTAACCCTTTTCACTCAACTTTAATATATAGCAGTCCTTTTTTTTATCTAAATTTTATAAAATTTTGCCTGCATGGAAACAAAAACATCTTTTCCCTAGATTAAAATAGATAGAAATTTTGTAAATGCAATTAAAAAAGTAATGCCAAATATGGTGAAACCATTATATGGCATGTTCAAACACAGCATAAGAGTCATTTTGTGGTCACATTTTCTACTTCTGAACAAAAAACATAAAAGAAAAATGATGAAGCTCTTTGCAGTATACTGAATTATTTAGCAAGTCAGAAGTTACATATACAGGAGCAGATCTCTTTGATGTGTCAGAACAACCTCACAATAAATAACTTCAGGCAAATCAATAGCAATAACTAATGCATTGAATAGACATGCATGTTCCAAAATGTGTCAACAATGATACAACACCAGCTGACGAATTTCCCAAACATCTCCAACACCCAGGGGCCATTGCTCTATCAAACTATCATGATCTCCCCACAGCAGGTGCAATTTGTTTTGTAAACTCGAACCATCTATCTATAATGGTAGGGTAAAATTTAACTTTTATGGATTTTTACTCATATATACTAGAATATTTTACTGAAAAAATACAAATCTTTATCATAAAAGTATTTTTAATATGGTGAGTCTTTGCTCCATGGTTAATTTACTATCTGAAACAAGAGCTATTTTGTGAAACACTGATGCAGATTGAATTTTCTCAAATGCATGTAAAACTCCAAAGGTCAAGGTCAAAAGTGTTCATATCCAAGAGTCTTGTTACAAGGAATACATTTGTAAAATATGAAAGCTTTTAGTTCTAACTGTTCGAAAGTTATGGCCAAGGTTAAAGTTTTAAAAAAGTGGGTCAAACTCTAAGGTTAAGGTCAAAAGATCAAAAATATTTATACATTAAAGGTCTTTAATCACAATGAATACATGACCTACTTTTGAAATTTTATCACTTTAAATAAATATTTCAGGTATAAGTGGCTCAGAATCATCCAACCTTTTTAGTTAGATGCATCTAGAGTCCTCAGATAATGATGATAAGTAGGTCATCATGACCTACTCTCAGGTAGTTATTGGCTTAGAATCATCTTGGGTTCTCAGAGTTTATTAATATTATCCTAAATGTAGGTCATGATGACATACCTTTGGAATTTCAAAACTTTATCTAAATATACAGGATGTTTTCAAGAGGCCTCAAATAGAAGTGATAAATATAAAGCTTCAAAAGAGCGATTCAAGGCCCTAATGGGTGCATGTCTTGTTAATCTTTATTACCCTCATATACCCTCTATATATAACTGGTGCTTTTAAACCCATTGGAGATTTTATTTTTAAAATAATTTTCTGTATAATAATCTTACCTTTGTCATATATACTGAAATATAAGTATAAAGATCTCGTACTTTTTAGCAAGGTCAAAGATTGACAAAATGAAGGATATATATGGTCAAGTTAGAAGTGTGAAATACAAAGTTTTATATACTAGCATTTTTAATTAAGACCAGATGCATTTTATTTTTAAAAGAAAAAAAATTTTGTTCATTTAAAAGTCTTGAAATTGATATGTGCAATTGAAAAAAAAAACTGTACTTGGCCTGGGTGCCTTTTGTGTACTTTTACTTTCACATTTCCTGGTTGAATTCCACAGCTGTTGTAAACTATCAAGAGATAAATTCGTGACTCCTTATTCTACAGTTTTGTTGTCGGAACACATATTGATCTGTAAAAGTTGACCATAATGGCTTGATTTTATCTGCTATATTGGCTCTGGCCTCTGGTTCATTTGAACTTAACACGGGCATTTACCGGTATTTAAGCTATCATGCACACAAATGATTCAGATTAGAAGAATGAGAGTAACACTGTTTCAGACATCTGAACTGTTTATGCCAACTTTTCTGGCAACTTAATATATATATTCAAGAATTGTGAAGTGCTGGTGGAATTTTCAGGGCCTGTATAAGAAATCATTTGACATTAATATTAGATTTTTAAATGCTCATATAAATTGCAAGTAAACATAAGTACATATGAAGTGGATGATTCATTTGACCAGGGAGGGGAAATATCAACCTTTAAAAAATTATTGACTATGTAAAAAAAATTGTTTTTGTTTTCGTAAGATGCCACATTCGCTGTACATGATCGAAGGAGGTGGAAAGTTACCCCATCTTGATTTTTTTTAGATGATTAAATTTCAGACTTTGTTTTAATGCAGATGTTGCCTGTTGGTGAGTGACTAGTTCATCAGTGGATGTAAACTCAAGTGGTCTCGGAGCAGTAATCACAAGTGAGTACAATGCAGAATTTCATATCAATCTCAGATTACTGTGTCGTGTTAATATAAAAATTGTTTTTTGTTAGTAATAATATGATTTTAACTTTTTGCCATAATGTTGAAGCTTAAGAAAATTTGTGACTATACAATTTAGTCTGAAAATAATTACGATAAATTTATTAAAATGTTACACAAACTTTTTAACATGTTTGGATTCAGAAAATATCAGTCATTTACATTTGAATGTTGAAATGTGGATAAACATCATAATGAATTTGTTTTTGTAAATTGCTTTCTTTTATAAGCTCAGATTAAGTAGCAATTAGTAAGGACCTTTGAAAATTCTAAGAAAATTATTAACACGTTATTTGGATGCGTCTGATCGTGACTTCATTATTAATAAACATTAGGGTTTTGTCACACCTTAGCAAAAAGCATGATGTCACACATTTCCTTAGCAAAACATTAATGAACATAGCCCCTTGCCACTTTTGGAGCCTCTTACTCAAATTGTAGCCCCTGTATATAGGGTACACTGGGGCCACAAAGGGAGATCAACATTTTTCATAAGAATACATTTATTTAAGGAAAGAAATTGAGAACAGAATAGCAAGGTTTGAGTGACTTAAGTGAGCATTATGACCCACAGGTCACTTGTCAAGATGAAATTCATGGTTTAAAAGTCAGAAGGGCATGGTCATTAAAAAGGGGGGGGGGGGGAAGGAGGAGGACCAAAAGTTATGTTTCCAAGCAATAGAGGAAATTTTTGAGATCAATTATTAGCTCTAGTCTCTACTGAGACAATGAAAATCTTGTATAAATGAAGATGTTAAAGTGTCCCACTCTTTAGTCTGTTTAGCTGGCTTAATATGTATCAAAAAGCTAGTCTTAATTCCTATAGATTAAATCTGTTTTGAATAAAGTATGGGATAAATTAGTAGACTACACCATAAGTTATGATACTTTTTATTAAATACAGTAAGTTAATTTCCTCTTACAAGGAAATAAGAAACAGAATAACAATTCATTTTTATCAATTTATTTATAGCAAAATCCTTATAATTTACATAAAGTTCCAAAGGGATGTGACATCTATATTTTTCATGCTTTTTTGAATGACAATACATTCCTTCCAGTTCAAGTTTTTCATGCTGCATCTCCTTGGAATTGAAGTTGAAGTCCTGTGTATACCATTTGAAGTATTTTCATATGGAAATTGGTTTCACTTTTTCAAAATTAACCTTAACAGTGACTTTTTTAAACTTAATTATGGTCTCCAATATTATTGTTAATAAGTTTACTTTCCAATCATTTTTACCTTCAATTACTATTCTTGGTAAAAATACTATTTTCATAAAGTTTGTAGACAACTCTTTAGTTATTTTAAATTGATTCAATTCATTAAATTGACTCAAATGAAAAACATTGATGAATTTGCAGATTTTATCAATTTTTTTCCTGTTCATCCTATTTCTGTTCAAAGTTGTATACAGTTCATTTTATTTTTGTGGTATTTTTGACACAAGAAACATAATGCAGACTTGCTCTTATCTTCACTTTTGACTTTTATAGAAACGTATTTTTAAGAAGGTGAAGCACACAGCAAGTCCCTTCATAAGGCTAGAAAGATCTGTTAATTTTAAGCTCTCTCAAATTTTCTCTGAGTAGAACATAAAATAGAAGAATAGGATTGCTACTGCTGCTGGCTGAAACAGAAGTAATTAAGTGTTATTTTAATGGTTAAAGCCACAGGTGTCCATTGGTGTACACGCCTGCTATCAGCTATCAGTCATGTTGGTATGTGCACTTTGGGAACCAGTGGGAGTAGTAAATATGGCAGCAAATGTATGAACCAGTCAATAATACTGAACTGTAAATGCGAGAAAAACTTATTAAAATTCAGACGGAATAAAAAAGTGATAGAAATGGGGGGAAAAAATCACGGTGCAATTCTTTCAAAATTGTAAAAAAAAATTGTAGACATATTTCTCCTACATTAAAATATGATGCATTTGAGTGCTGTACATTTAATTGTTATGATTTTAAATATAGGTTTAATTTTACAAATGTGATTTTAAATATTCATCATAAGCCTATTGATAATTGTTATGTTCTCTTTTATAAATAACGATTTGTTAGATGAATACTAATATCTTGTCTGGTTATGTAATGACAGTGTCTGGCGGAGAGGAGGATCATGCAGGAAGTTCTGAGTCCGACATCAGTATGTTTGCATGCTCGCATACATATTGTGTAGTGTGTGTATTTATATAATATATATATCATAATGCGCTAATCCGAAAATACCATATATAAAAATACCTAGACACACGTAGTGTATAATGATATGAGAATGTGTTCAGGCCTAAAAAAAATATGTTTGTTTCCTGTAACCCGACCGACCCATTCAAATTATCCCCGGGTGGATTTTTTTTTCTGACAAATGGCAAAACTTCGTTTGATCAATCAGCTGATTCCATTTATTAAATTAAAAAAAATAGCTTGTAGCTTAATTTGAGACATAAAATATGTCAACTTAGTGTACGTTTACCTTAAATATAACGAGTAATCATTATTGTAACAACAGTTTCCCCCTACAACTTTCTGAAGTTTGTTTTCTGCCGCTTGGCAGCCATTTTGGATGCCATATTGGGTGTCCACTGTAAATATAACACCTGGTATTTTCGGTCCGGGGATGTTTGACCATTCATAAGCAAAAAAAAAAAAAAAAAAAAAAAAAAAAAAAATAATTTCCGACCTACCGACCCTTGATTTTTTAGGAATGTTACAGGAAACAAACTTATTTTTTTTTTAAGCCTCACCCTTGTATTGTTGATTGTATGACGAGCATATACCAAATATACCACAGAGATTACAGTAATTATGTGTAAAATATCCCATAATCCACAGTAATTCACCAGTTAACTAGAGTAATTGCATTAAACATTGATAATATTTACAGTAATTGCTCATATTTTCTGCAGAAAACACATTTATAATAACTATTCCTGATTACTTATATAATTTTATATACATATATATATATAGTTACTGTAACTTCTTGTCAAGTTTTACATGTAGATCAAGGAGTAATTGAAAGTGAATGAATTTGACAGTCTTTCAGATCTTTGTGATAAAAGTGAGTAAGTTATAATCATGATAATACAGAGGTTTGTATCTCTTCTATGTCTTCATTCATAGCAGACTTGTACCCTGGTACTAGTTAGGTTGGTTTGTTATTTATTGATTTTAAATGATGGAGGGACAAAATTAAAGCCGTGTATCCATGTGTCAACTATATTGGACGTTGATGTATCCAATTGAGTGGTTAACAAATTATCACAATAAACAATTGGAAAGATTTTTAAAAAATTATATCTTTCTTTTCTCTAAGGTTAGAAAAGATTTTGTGAAATATTGTCAGGAGGGGGCAGAGATTCTTTTTAGATTAAAAATGATAAGGAGGGATGGGTGGGGTGGGGGTGCTTTAGGGTGTAGGGATCCTTATTGACTTACTTCGGATGCTGAATCTGATCTACATTTTACGGTTGAGTGAACAGGTTTAGGTTTTTGGTGCAGATTTCATTTCCAAGTAACTATGCGCCCTATAATGAGCAAACTTTCATGGACGATTCATCTTAGGATGCACACTAATGGACTTGCTTCGGATGCTGAATTAGACATACATTTTTCAGATAATGGGCCAGGTAAAAGTTATGGTTACAGGTCTATTACCAAAAAACTATAAGGCTTATATAACATTGTATAAACCAAACTTGCACAAATGATGCATCAAGGGATGAAAACTCTCAAATTTGCTTCAGATGCTGGATTTAATTACATTTTCATGAAAAAGAACTAGTTTGAAGTTTTGATATAGCTCTATTCCAAAGTATCAGATCAAAATTGCATAAATATTTTCATTTTGGGATGTTCACTTCTTTTTGGTTAATTGTGTGACTTTGCCTTACTTAAAGACAACATTCGTTGAGGTGAGCTCTGTAATCTCTGATTACCTATGTTTGTCCATATCTTGAATATAGAGATGAACAGTTTGTAAGCGCAACTCCTCATAAACCGCTGCACAGAATTTTGTCAAACTTTGCAGATATTTAGTATTCATTTCCAATAGGTGATATTACCAATTTGAATAGGTGATTCACCTATTCGAATAAGTGATATCACCTATTGGAAATAAATAGGGGATATCACCAATTCGAATATCATCTATTCGAATAAGTGATATCACCTATTCAAATAGGTGATATCACTTTTTGCCAGTAAATACCAAAAACGGTGCCTTATTGGTTTAAAACTATAACTAAGCTAAGTCAATGATTAAATGAATTCACAGTATTTCAGATAATTATATACATGTACTAAGTAGTTAGGATTAATGCACTTTTGATGTTTTCAATATGAAGCATGCTGGAGTTTGATTTGGAATATGAAGTACTAGTATATATATTTAGTGGAATTTTTATAGTTTTCCATAGTTTAATATCACAAAACAATTTATGTACTCATGAATTCTCATCATTAATTACAAGTATTACATTAAGTGTTGAGAATGCTTATTAAATTATAGACGCTTTAATATTTGGCTTTCAATCCACATTTGACCTTGATCTGCATTTATTTTCCGTGTGAATGTGGGATGGGTGGGGTGGGGAGAGGTCAGTTTAAGGGGGGTGGGTGGCTGCACGACAAGATAATTTGATGTATTTTGATGCATGATCCTAATGAAACACTCAGGACTTGATGTGTAATGGGCAGATTTTCAAGGATGGAAAATTTCCCAGCTCGTTGACAGGGGAGTATTTTTCCACACATCGGTGAAACTTGACTGTTTATACAATCACATAGAAATTGTTAACCACTTTCCTTACAATGACAAGGTTGTGTTTACTTTTAAGCATCTTACAGTGACCATCTGCATTGTTCACACAATGTGCAGGCTTCTCATTAAGAATAAACCACTTGAACATGGTGTAGTGTATCTGCTTATTAGACAGATTTACACTTTGATGCATTGTGTCAGTGAGCAATCTTGCATTGAATTTGGAAAGAAAAAAAAGGTCATCAAACTTATAAAAATGATATCGTTTTTTGGAGTGCCTGTATAATATATTCGGATATAGTTATTTCTAATAGCGTTCAATATCTTAATTTTTTATTTGACTGCATGTTAAAGTATTTGATTTTTGTATAATATGTTGTCTAGAAAAAAAGGAATAATACTGGTATTGGTAAATTCAGTCTCTCACCAGTAAATGGATATATCTGCAGGAATCCTAATGCTATACATATATTTACTGTATAAATGATTTCAAAAATGTTGATGAGTCAACCACTCCAACTTTGATGTAAATTCCTTGTCCTAAGAGTAAAATTTCCTTAGTATATTTTGATTTATGGCCATACAAGCTTAGGGCATGGACAATCCTCTGAGTGCTCCAAATCAAGATACAGTAAAGTATGGTTATAACAAACATGTTTATAATGAATTAACCCTTATAGCAAAGTGATTAACAAAGAACATTGATTTTAAAATCACTCAGACAGGGAAAGTCCAAAGAATATTGACATAGTAGAAAGAATAATTAAACTATTATATTTTTACATATAGATATATATTAGGGATGGCAATCATATACAGAATTGCCGATTGGTCAATGGCAAGATGTTCTCCTCAATTTATAGTGTGTTAATTGTATTAAAATTATATTTTGATATATTCAATCATTGAAATTATAAGCTCTGTTTAAATCAACAGAAGAACTAAATAGGCGTCGGTAAAATTATGGTTCTATCTGATCAGAATACTATATATATATTATTTTGTTTTGAATGATTTATATATTGGCCAAAAGAAAAAAAGGAAACAGAAACCCATGAAAATGTATGAGATACATGAAAAAATCAGACCAGATGTCACAGATGTCACAACCTGCTTAATGTTTCCAAATCAAGTATAAATTGGGAACTACAATCACTAAATTTACAAATGCTTGCATGATTATATTATTTGACAGTTATGTAATTTCAAAGGATAGAAATGGGAAGATACATATTATAATCGGTGCACAAGACTCAACAATCCTTTAATAAAAATAATTAACAAATACAGTGGAGCCTCATTTATCCAGACGCTTTGGTTCCTTGTCAATTTGTCCGCATATGTAAAGCATCTGGATATCTGAATTACCAATTAAACAAGACAATGTAACATTAAAAAAATTCTGTTCCGATGAAAAGTCGTCCGGATACTGAAGCATCCAGATACTGAAGCATCTGGATAGCTGAAGGTCCACTGTATGTGACCAAGTTACCCTGTTAAACCTGTTACAAATTGCCATTCCTATAATAAATATGTGTATGACCTGAAGAGCAATTCGACCGTCTTTATTTTCTAGCTCTCAGACCTTCTGCTATGTCCTCTTAATTTGTACGTTGTGACTAGCATTAACCTTAGTATCAAAGAGTTCAAGATATTTTTTCTCCACACTCAACTCATTTATACTTAAATCCATAATTTTCTGACCATACCTTCCATATGACCTTGAAATTCATTGTTATCCAATGTGACTTTATAGTTATTAAGATTACTTCATTCAACGTCTAGTTTATTGTGAAGAGGGGTAAGGGATGGATCAGCTGCATTATAGAAGTTGTACAATTAATGCATATTTTTTAATCTTTTGCAGTGGCAGAACCCGGAGCTGGGTTTGATGCTAAAGGCTTCGGGCTGAGGGCCCAGAAGAAACTACTAGGAAAGATGTCCAGCAAGAAGATTGTCAAACAATTTGTTGACGATACTACAAGTCAAGTTTTAGACAATGCTTATAGGATAATGAAAGACTTCACTGGTGACAAGAAACAAGCAGAAAAGTTGCTTAAGTACATCATAAAAACCATCATCAAGGTGGGCATCCTATACAGAAATGATCAGTTCAACGCTGATGAACTGCAGGTGGCCGAATCCTTCAAAAGCAAGTTTCACTCTCTATCAATGACAGTTGTTAGCTTTCATGAAGTGGATTTTACCTACGAGAAACCATTCCTGAAATCCAGCATTGAAGAATGTCGGCAACTTCTACAAAGTCTCATACAACGCCACCTCACAGACAAATCAAAAGGTCGCGTGGATACAGTGTTTAACTTCTTCACAAAAGACGAATTAATGGATGCTTTGTTTAATCCCTCAGGGCCCCATAAGAAGGAGATGGACTCAATAACTGCTGATATGCATAAGATGATGGACGAAGGCAATCTTTAACCATTTGTTTTCTTAGAGATTAGGCTGTGTTTGAATGAGACTGTGCAGCAATTATAAATGCAATGTAATAAATCCTTTATATGTAATCATGTAAAAAAAGGTATATAGTACATATATATATAAGATTTAAGAGAAAAGTTTTACAGTATTACATTTATCCATATGTTCAGTTTATTACCAGACCTTTTATCAACAAGTGTGTTATGGAAAATTGATCTTTTTTTTTGTTTTTGTTGCAATATCCTGTTTTCTGTAGAGAGGTTTTGTTCATGTATGCTGGTATGAATCTGTCTGAGTTGAAATATCTGTATTAGGTTTTACTTTTTATACAAGTCAATTTTTTGGAGCAATGAATAACAACACTTTTTTTTGTAATACTTCAGGAGGGTATATTGAATGGAATTAATCATAAAGAGTGAAGAAAACAAAAATATCTTAAAATTTTGTTTAGAAAAGGAGGGTTAATATCTGATGAATATTTCTGAAAAATCTGCTATATGTCCTGATTTGTTCACGCTCAACCAAACTTTTTTTACCATGAATAAACACAGAGTGTATAGGTACAGAGGCACTATTAATATGAACAATTTATACATATATAAATTAGGGTGAGGGTGGGTGGGTGATAAGAAGCTTTTGAATGGTATTTACTTGTTAAACTAATGAAAAGGTGTGTTACATAATAAAATACCAGTTGAATTATCAAGTGCAAGCTTTAAACTAACTATAAACCAATGAAAATGAATTTCCGGAATAAGTATTAAAAACATGTTCTATCGACGCACATGATACCAACTGGAATGAATTCATAATATTCCATGTTAATGTAAACAAAACTGTTTTGGATTTTTAATGCAATGTGATATAGTTCAGTGTACTACAAAGAAAACCACACTAAAAACAAATTTGATTTCATCGGAATGTTATCTTGTAAGATTCATCCATCCTTTGTCTGGAATTTACAGCATTTATAAAGTCAAACTAATTCTATTGATATTTACTGTAAATGTGATTAAGAGTTTAAAAACCTGTTAAACATATTTTGTTGAATGTTTTTAAAAACATGACTCGTTTTATGAACCATATGAAATCTTTTTGGATGATATTGCCCTTGTTTTGTGCACTGATATACTGTGAAAAGAATGACCATTGTGCCCCTATAAGGCCCCTGTGAAATATTTTCCCATTGTCTCTGAATATAAGGGTCCCTTTTATTGTTTTATCAGATTGTCCAAGTCAACAAGTGCGGTATATCTTCAAAACCATTAAAAAATTGAAATATATTTATTCAATGAAAATGACCAATGTCATTATTCCATAGGATTTGTGCACACCAGATTGACAAAATCTGGAAAATGGCCAGAATTTTCTTTTTTACATCTTGGCTAGAGTGATGGGATTTTCATAGAAAAGAATTCATATAGTGAATGTCGAAAGATTCTACCCCTTTTATAAATTTCAACAGAAAATTGGAAGAATATGGTATTTTAAGCATTAGTCAGATGTCATCTTGAATATTAATTTACTGATTTTTTCCATCAAGTTTTACTTAATAATAACTGTTACTCTTCATTTCAATTAATGTTGCTTTGTATTGCTTGCTCTTGAGACTCTTAGAACATTGTAGTATAAGCATGCGTTTTTGTTGTATGTCTGATTTCAAAGCCTCAGAATAATGAAAGCAAGAGTAAATTAATTTGGTTTACATTCCATTGATATTTTTTTCATGTTAGAATAGGAGATTCAAGTATCACAATGAGTTGTGTTCATTACATTGTATAATGCATGATATGGTGCCGTACTTGTCAAAACTAGTGCTTTTTTAAAAGATGTTATTCATTAAGGTTTTTATATTACATTTAAAATATTACATTGATAATCTATTCATCTCTATGAACTATTAGTTTTACAGGGTACAACATCTTCCTATTTTTTTCTTTGCACAATATATTTCTGTTATGTGTACACACATGTAAGTAACCTAAGCAACTTTTCTCATTAAATGAAGATGTTAGATGAGGTACGTAACTTAATTTCCACTTGTATGTTTAAATTTTGTTAAAACTGTCTTCCAGCTGATTTTGAACATGAGAAAAATAATACACAAAAAGGCATGCAAACAGAAACAGAACAGCCCATTGTAGGAAGAGGAAGCTATAGTGTGATGACTATTTTTGTAATTGTCTATTTTTATATAAATATGACTAGTCATGGGCAAATTTCTGCTCTATTTTTGTTATCCATTTGATATAGTTTATAAAGGAGGAATTATATTTCTACAAATTCTTATTGTGGCAAACATTCAGTTTAAAGCTGGAAGTGTGATATCATAAACATTATAAACATGTATAGTTAGAAAACAATAAGGGCATGTTATGGAAGAGTTTGTTAATTATCACAATTTTTAGCATCTGTATGAAATAATATTTTTTTTAAAATTCTGATTGCTTGTAGAAATGCAATTTAATAAGAATTTAATTTAGACTACAGTTACATTTTTGGATTACTTATAGTAATTAAAATATTGGCATATACCATAAGAGTGTCTAAATAATAATTTATCATAAGAGCTGTAATTTATCCAAACAGGTTCGTCATTTGATAAGAAATTTGGCTCTTGATAGTTTGATGTGTGTATAAAATCTATTTCACAAATTGGCAATTTATAAATTATGCTTTTAGTAAATGTGATATTCCTTTGTTCAAATGCTTATATTTATATACTTTACTCAGTACCTTAAGTCAGGCACTTGATGGATGGATGGTATAACCCCCCCCCTCCCCCCAGCTTCTAAGAAATTTTATCAGACTTTTTAAAATTACATTAATTCCTAGTCAATCAGACCTGTATTTCGATATGTTATACCGTTTTCCTCTTTAGTTTTGAAGATTCGCCCTTTATGGTATATAAAAATACTATGTATTAACGTAAATTTAATGACCAATCTTTGAAACTTGCATGTATTGGTGGAACGTACTTCATACCAATCTTACACAGATCTGCATTTTGGGGGGGGGGGGTGGTGTGTCTGTGTGTGTTTTTTTTTGGGGGGGGGCATTTTTTGTTGGTTTAGTATATAAATTTAATAGCTCTGCAAATTCCAGGGGGGAACCCACTCTAGATATGCGCATGCTGGGGTTGGGGTGTATACATGTGCCACTCATTTGTCAGATGCCTGTGCTTCTAATAATATTTTCAAGTCATGCACCCATGCTTTCCTTTTGCCAAAATTACTTTTTATATCCTGCTAAATATTGATGCCTTCTACATGTATTTATTAACAAATTTATAACCCTATATTCTTTATCTTCATTTGTAAAAGAAACATTTTTATTTCATTCAGTTGGAATAAATTCAATCTATTTAAGAACATTTTTCATGTTTTACTTTACAATGCCAATATATTTGTGTGGTGAAGAATGTTTGTAAAAAAGTCTCTAAGAGAAATAAACCTTGTATATCATCTATAGATAAGCAGTGAATTCCAGCTTGTCAGTATTCTCTATGTTAAATGACACAAAACTTATTTCCAAGTCCTGAGTGAAAAGTTCAAAACTGAGATATTTTTCTCCATGTTCAATGTACATGGAATATACAGTGAACTGTATGAATTTATTTTTTATAATCACAGAACTTCCAAGTGAAAAGCAGATTGTTACGAGAAATGAAGAATTTAATGAACAAAACTGTAAATAAAGTATTTTGCTTTCTAAGATGTGTTTTATTTATAAAACTAAACATATGATCAGCTTACCATCTAGAGCTTGCAGAATGTCCCAGGCATTTTTTACAGTCTGGAAACAGGAAAAGCATAATTTGCTTGAACCAACTTTGATTGGAAAAGATCACAGATTTTAGGTCAAATTTTTTAATGTGTGAGTAAAAAATGTTTATTTTTGTATGAATTTTTCTCAAAGGTCATGACAAGAATAATGGTGTAGGTCACAGCTTGATGAAAAGCACAGACTTGCAACTCAGCAAGTTGGCAGTGGAATATTTTCAGTTGAATGTTTGCCTTAGAAGAAATAAAAGCCCAGTTGACCACAACGCTAATTCTAAATCGCAATGATAGCGAATGTTTTCCCTATTCCTATGTAAAACTTGGATCACATATTTTGACCTGTAACACCCACACATCCCCACCTACCCAGGTTCACAATTTGAGTTTTGAATATCAACTTTCTAAGGATGCTTCCAATAAATGTTTATCAAGGCTCAGCTGTTTTGTGAGGATTTTTCCTATACATACCTAGTATGTAAAATTTTGATCACATATGTTGCGACCCCCACCCTACCACAAAGATATGAACTAAATCTTCTAGTTCATTATTTTGATGTTTGTTTTTCCATATATCTAATACGGATGGATAAAAAATGTTTCATAAAAAAAATTGGAATTTGTCTACCATTTTTGAATGTAAATGAATGTTTATTTATGCCCTATATCTGGTTCAGGGTTTTATATAAAGCCAATGCTCACATTATATACATTCACACTGTATGTTGCTGTTTGATTTGCAATTTATTGTAATCCATATATATCACCATATCATTTCTCTAGACAGACATATAAAATAACCACAGAAATGAGGTATGTGTATTAAACTTTAAAAGTTATTAAAAAAATATGGATTTTGATTGTGATTAAAAAAATTGATATAATTAAGGCAACATTGCAAAAAAATAAAGAATAAAAGAAGGATATCTGCAAGTACATTTCTTATACATGTAAATAGTCAATACATATAACTCAGAGCGGTGCTTAAATATAAAGTAAAATGATATAGGTTAAAATGTTCTTTTCAATTACTCGTGCTGCACGATATATTCAATTAAAAATGCCAACTTTATGTCAAGGTTAAAAGATCATGGTATCCACAACAAAAAATGGTATTTTAACAGTTCCTTCAAAAAATATCGTATTTTCGTGAAATATACGGAAGAGTTCAACAACATCTCAGGTACAAAATGGACCCTTAACCCTTCAAAACCTGTTAAATGACTCTTTCCCAGGTTAAAAAAATTGTAAAAGGTAGGTCAAACTTTAGCATTTAAAGTAAATGTCAAGGGGTATTAAAGACTTGCTATCAAATGCAACTATGTATAAACACTTGACCTTAAGTGGATCTTGTCATTTATAAATCACATAAAACATTTAGGAATCCCCCTCCACTTTACCAGTTTATTTTCTAGGATTAAATGTGTAAGGTATGAAAGCACTATCCCTAACCCTTTAAAAGTTATGTTAAAAAAGGATATTTTTAAATGTATGTTACCACTTCAACAAAGATTGCTTTCATCATTTCAAGGTTAAACAGTACTCTTGGAAAATACAATGAATATTTGGTCTTTTCATAAGGATATATATATGTGATAAATATATCAAGATCAGCCTATTCACACCTTATATTAGCGATAAAAGTTATTTTTTTAATTTTTATTAGCCAAGGTTTTTAATTTCATACATCCAGTACAATTTTTAAATTTTTAAGGTTCACTTTTTTTCTAGGTAAATATGGTATATAAACCAAAATCAAAGGTAATATAACCAAAAGTTTACAAAAAGAAATAATCATATGTTATTGTGAGTAGTTAGCTTTTTCTGAAGCCTTTTTTTATTTAGTCCATAACTGTTTCATAATTTGGTATGTCTCTTTTTAGGTTTATAAATTTTAAAAATTTTGGTGTTGGTTAAAGGTGGTTATGACTCCAAGGTCAACACAGCCACCCTCTTGCCATCAAATGAAGGGTCTTGTCACAAGGATAAAAAATGTTAAGTATGAAAGCACTACCCCTAACTCTTAAAAGTATACTTATGGTCAAGGTTTGCATTTAAAAAGTAGGTCAAACTCCATGGTTTTTCATATAAATACTAACCATGGGTTTCATAAAAGGTTTTTTTTTACATTTGATTGTTCACTCCATATGCAGGGTTTCTCAAAAGGATTATATACATATATTGCTGTTCAGTGTAATCAGCAATCACCAGTGTAGACCATATATGCCACACTATTTCTTTTCATTAAAAAAATATAGAAGTTGTGGCCAAGGTTAAACTTTTTTATGCAAAGTCACTGGAAATCAATCCAAATATGGTAAAATGGTCTCCAAGGTTGATCATGGTATCCAATGACAGCCACAAAAAATACTATGTGAAATATGGAAGCCACAAAGAAGTTAAAAAATAAATGTCCTCCAAGGTCAAGGGGTCAAAAGACTTGCTATCAAATGAAAGATCTTGTCACAAGGATTAAATGTGTAAGGTATGAAAGCACTATCCCTAACCCTTTAAAAGTTATGTTAAGGTCTTTTTAAAGTAGGCCAAACTCCAAGGTCAAGGTTCAAAGTTCTTGGTATCCAATGAAGGGTCTTTTCACAAGGATTACATATGTGAAGTATATAATATCAACAGCCTTTAGCGTACAAAAGTTATGGCCAAGGATTTTCATAAATACGAAAAACTTCAAGGACAAGGTAATTGGTATCCAATGAAAGGTCTTGCCCCAAAAAATACATATGTAAAGTATGGAAGCCTTTGTCCTAACTGTTCAGAAGGTATGGCCTAGGTTTAAAATTTTAAAAAGTAGGTCAAACTCTGCAAACACAACAAAGACAAATACAGTCAGGTGTAACGATTGCAAAGGGTATATGCTGGTGCTGATATCACAGATGGTATGATCAAATTTGGCATTTTTTATTATGCAAAATACAATATACCGGTAAGCAGAATTTCAAGCTTTTGGCATTGGTAGCGAAGGTGCCGAGATCGCTAAAATTGAATATCGCTTAAATGTACATGTATATTAGTTGTTATGGTTTCTTAGTGAGCTCTTTAATATTCTAAAATTACTTCTCACTAAATATTAAATACCCATTTTTAAGGACAAATTGCTCAATTTGCGTCTCACTAAAATTTTCACTTAAATGGTATGCCATATAGTTTACAAGCCTTAAAAGATTTTAAAAGATATTTATGTAAAACTCAGAGCTTGTTGTGGCCCTACTCTATCCCTTATTTGTTCTTTAGGACATTTTTATGCGCCCGGATCGATAGATCCGAGGCATATATTGTTTTTGTCTGTGATGAAAAAAAACTTTTGAAATGAGAGATATTCATATTTGTAAACTCGACCACTGAAGCTCTTTCAAATGGCACCAACGTCAATGACCTTGTGACCTTGACTGTGACCTATATGCTAAAAATATTTTTTTCGAACTTTCGCCATAACTTTTGAACCATGAGAGATAGAGACTTCATATTTGGTATGCATACTCCACTAATAAAGCTCTTTCAAATGGCACCAAGATGACCTTGTGACCTTGACTGTGACCTATATGCTAAAAATAGTTTTTTGACTTTTTTCCTAACTTTTGAACCATTAGAGATAGATCACTTCATATTTGGTATGCATACTCCACTAATGAAGTTCTTTCAAATGACACCAAGGTCTATGACCTTGTGACCTTGACTGCGACTTATCTGCAAAAAAGTTTTTTGAACTTAGTTACCACCGGGCGCATAGTGTTTCACAAACACATCTTGTTTTTTTCCTATACATGTAATCCTATGTACAAACTTTTGCTTGCCTATTGTGCTCAGGTCATAATTTGAAGACTCTTAAATAAAAGTTCAAAACTATGTTGCAAATATCCTTAAAAATACACGTTTCCAATAAAAAGTCTTGTTTTCTTTAATGCACTTTAATTGTTCCCATTCAAACATCATATACAGTGCAGTTAATACCCTTTATTGATAAGTGAATAAATGGAATGGTCCTCCAATATCACATGATATATATCTCGCATCAAATATTAAATGAATAATGAGCAAATGATATTGAACAAGATAAATCCTTAATTCACAGAACAGATATATTGATGACCAGTTTTTAACACATTTACATTTTGTTCAGACATTTTCTCTTTGATTCTGAACTTTTTCCTGTTTGTTCAACACTGATAAAAAATACAGCCATTGTTCAATGATTTTAAAAAATGCAGCTATTTGCTTGCTTATAAAAATAATAAATTTAAAGTTTCAATAGAAAGATAGCTACTGTTAGGAATGTGTTACAGAGCTTGGAGAAAAAAAAAACATATTGAGCATCTTTATGATTAACAAGACACTATTCAGACTTTGTTGTCTGACCTTTTCTTATCCAGTCCTTTTGTTTAAAACTGTATTTAGCAAATCTTTCCCATACCAAAAAAGTACAATACTGAACAGTTTGCTAGCATCACCATTTTGTAGCCTTTAGAAAATCAACAGAGGCATAAAAAATATTCTAAAAAATCATTAATTCCATTTAAGAAGTGGGGAAAACATACTATCCTTAAAATAAAATGAAGAGTGTGTCAAAGTGAATTCAATTTTTATGTTCTTTCTCCATGAAAATGATATAACTGATGTTAAGAGTTGAGGTCTAGCCAGATGTTAAAAATGCTCTATACAAAATGTTTCTAGCATAGCACCTTTCATTATAATATTAGAATACTAATACTGTAATGTATCAGTATGAATGTTTTGTTTTTTGATGATACTCTTTTGAAATGATGACTAAGTAAATGTAAACAATAGTTATAAATAAGATCTATGACACTGTGAGGCTGATAAGAAAGAGCAATATGTTCATACAGTGATGAAGGCCCTGTTTTAAAGATTAAACTATGCAAAAAGAAATGTTAGAATGAAAATTGAACATATTTTGGTGGTCAATTGCTGTAAAATAACAATAATTTAGCTATATTTGTACACATTCATACTTTGCGTACATAGGAAGAACTCTATGGATTCCTTAAATCCATTCAAAATTACTAAAATTATTTGTGACCAGTACCGTAAAAGAACAACAATTTATAACCACTAATGATCAGCTGTAACACTAGCACATTCCTAGCAAAGTATGAAACTAATTCAAGCAAGAGAGGGTTTTATTGTGTCATATAATATCAGTGTCCATGTTAATAACAGAAACATGGCTATTTTAATATCATTTGCTCCTCTGAAAAATAGAATGCTCAGTAATGCAACAGTAACTGTAGATGCAAAGACATAAACTGACAAACTATGTATGCCACAATCCCAGACTAATCAGGAGCTGGACAACTATAGCATTAAATCATCTTGTTCTAACAGCAGCAAAATATAATGTTGAAAGACAAAATTACATGGTACAGTGAATATTTACAAGGACTACATCTCAGATCCAACTGGCATTATAAGAACAGGATAAACAATTCTTCGAGTAAAGTTTGTCACCATACAATTCTGTACTGCATGACTAGACTAGTTTGTATGCAATAAGCGCATAAACCTACACTTCATATATTGAATACATGCTCACTCAGTAAAATTCATGTCTGTACTTTGTCCATGCATTCAAAAGCGCTATACTACCTATTATTGCACTTGAAAAATACACAAGTTAAATTTTGGCAAAAATTAAATTGCATATTAAAGTCAATTTACAATATCATAAAGCACACTTAAGATTGAAAATAAATATATATATATATATATCGTGAACCATTGATTTATCTAGGCACTTAATAAAGTCTATAATGCATTTCCTTTCATCATCTTAAAAAAAAAATCATAAAACTAAAATTTTAACAAAAAGCAGCACTGCAAACAGCTCTCAAACCCTAGCCATCCCACTTTTAAAAAAATGACTATGTGGTATGTCATTGCATTCTTGTCTTATATTTACAAATGAGGTAGAATATGAATACTCATGATGACTTGGAATGGTTTTCCACAACTGATATGAGTCACTGTAAAAATGGATGACACATGATTTAGACATGGCATAATGGCAAATGTGGAATGGCTGGGTTCTCCAATACTAGACCATGATTTCATCCTCATCCTCACAAATATTATGTAGGGCCGGAATGGAGACAGAACTGGACTCCCATGAGGGTTCACGCGTGTGAGCAATAGGAAGCACTGCTGGTCCCTCCGAACTGTCCGAGGTCACAGAATCATTCACTGTGCTTTCTAGAGGGTCACTGAAATCGTCACTGCTGCAAGAGAGACACTGATCCCCACGCTTGTCCAGGAGGGGTCGGTATCGTTTGGGGGGTCGTTTACAAGGATTGTGGGCTACTCTTCTCTTTGTAAGGTGCTGAAGTTGTGAGGGTGGACTTACTGTAACAAAACAAGTAAACCTGAGTGCACTGTAATTTTCTTTATCAAATTTAACATTTTGAATAGTGATTCAAATAATTACATATATTGTAATTGAAATTCAATCAATCCTTATTTTTCCTTTCAAAATTGAAGCAGACATATTTATAAATGAAAGTTTCTCATATTTACTTCTTAATGCTTAAAATATAATTAGGGCTAAGTTTCCACTAACTGCATCTTTCACTACATTTTTAGAATCTTTTCGATTCATGACAAAGAAGGAGTATGTCAGAATATTGATTTGAGATGGAAGAAAATAAGAATTTGGTTTAATATATTCAATATTTTAAGATGAGAAGTGGAAGGCATTTAATTTTTCAGAGAGGGTATGAAATTACATGCATCTTAAAAACAACAGTTTCACTATTTATTTGTTTTATAACAGCAGACAATTTTAAATTGCAGAAGTTTTGCTAATCTAATAATAAAAAAAAAAACTGGCAACAAGACATTTAGAATTAATGGGTTAGTACAGCACATGAACATCATTCTTTTAGCATGACTGACTCTCAGAACTGAAGTCTTAAAATTTTAAAATACATGCATAGCCATGAATGGAAACCATGGAAGAAAAAAAAACCTATCATAAAGGATATGTTTAATTTTGCCCTGCACTGATTAAAGATCACAACTATTACCCCATTAAATCAAAGGTTTTTAGTAACTTTAAACATACACCATACACTATTCCCATCTTCATATTATTCTTTATTGAAAGGATCTGTATCTAATAGGCAATATTGTCCAAAATGAAGCGTAAATTAAACCAGAGGTTTCAGACTGTGATGAAGCTCTACTACATGTAATGTGTGCTTACAAAGAAGGATATACACTTGAAGCAATTTTCTTTAGTCTTATATAAACAGAATTTGTATCTTTTTTTAGAGGGGGGAGAGGAGGGGTATAGTATGAAAATAGATGAAAACTGTGGATGTAGATTTTTACACATCTTTTAAGTTATCTGTACTAAGGAGAAGTGCTTGGAAAGAATCAATAATTATTTCATTTTTAAGAAAATCACAGCAATTTTGTTCTTTGAAAATTACAAGATAAAATAATGTATTTTGGTATAGTAAATTTGTATGCCAATTTTTCTTGAACACTGTAAAGGAAGCAGCTGAAAAAATTACACAGAAATTTTCTATTTTTTGTGAACATGGTGACACTAAACATTGGGATCAATCAATACTGATATCAGGATTTCATGTTTGTGTCCTAATGCTGTGTGATGCTGTTTAATTCTTTGTTAATAAAATTGGATCAAAATAACAGGAGGAATAACATTTTTAAAGAATTTTTATAATTAGAAACTATAATAACATTATTCATCAGAATCTGATAATTAAGCATGTTGTTTTAGTTTACCTGTGTACCAGGTTTTACTGAAATTGGATGAAAAGTGTAGGAGTGTGAAGGAAAAGGTGAAAATTGAAAAAAATTGTTTACAGACAGACATACACCTTTCCAATGCATAACTCTGAATAAAGATAGAAGCAGGCCTGTGGCCTTTTTATGTCTTAATTATCCAAAAGATTTGAATATGCTCTGAAATATCTGATGTACATTTAAGAAATGAATTTATTTTTTTGAAGATTCATGAGGTTATGAACTACGACGCTTCACGCCGGCATATTTCATGAAGCACGTTAGTGAGAACTTTATTTTCGCATAATTACGCGAGACAATGTACTCGTGAAATTTTAATTCTCACGTATAATAGTATTCCTAAAGATTATATAGAGCAATAACCACAATTCGTGAAAATTTTGTCTCGCTAATCAAGAGACAATGTCTATCTCGCGAAAATAAGGTGTCACGAAAATTTAGTGATCTACAGTACTAAGTATTTTAAAAAAATACTATACTTAGCAAATAAAATAAATAATATGTTTGTTGGTCATGACACAGTTTTCACAGAAGAGTTCTTGTTTATCTGTAGTTTAATGGTCCTTCACTAAATTGTTTTACATGTATCATTGTAGGATTTTCTTATCATATGATGAAATAGACTGCTGTCCTTATGTACCACAGATCAGAATTTCTTTCATGATGTAAATTTTGGTTGAAACTACCCAAATCATTCTTTAAATGAGGAATAAAATGTACATAAAAACAGCAAAAATTAAATTCTGATCAGAGAAAAGAGTAAATAAGTTCTGAAACAGAGGTGAACTGATGTATAGAAATATACCTACAATTATACCCATACACAAACCATCCCTGAGAAATTAAAAGAAATATTTGAATGAAATGAAAGAAATGTTGCTTTATATAACAGGCATTTTCTATGTAAACGAAGGTACAGATAAAAAGAAATGGTCATTCCAATTACCACACGCTATGTTTGACTACTCCTTGGTCTTTGGTTTGAATTTACTTTCACTTTTGATTTCTTCCCTTATAGAAAAGAACAAGTATCTGGGTTAATACTACTGTGTAAGTTGTACAGATTCTGATCAAGGTGCATTGCGACTTGTACATTTGACAGCCTTAATTAATTCAGACAATACAAAGCATGGTGGGGACTGCTATTAGTGGAGTATCAATGGTCTGTACAGTTATTTTCTTCAAATATACAAAGAATTGTATTATATTTCTAGCTATTTCTTAACATAATCAATAAAAAATTTTGTACCGACACAGTGTACACATTTACTTTCCAAAGTCTGTTTTAAAAGAAGTCTGATATAACAAACCATTGCTACTCCTTTGGTTGGGTTATTTAGCACATTATAAACAAAGGTACTAGAATATAAAAAGCAGCAAAGGAAAAAAAAATACCGGTCACCCTGAGTAACCTCCCCTGTCATTGTTTACCTTTATGTGTCTACACCAAAAAGAACAGTACAAAATCAAATCAACTTTGACAACAACTGTTATGTCATATTGTTCTAAGGAAAGCATATTCTACACAACTATACTTGACAATCATATCAAGTTATGCAAGTGTATAGTCTCACCCACTCTCTTTTTCTGATAATAATGAGGACATGCATTTTAACTAATAAATGTTAATATCTTTACACAAACTCCAATTCCTTTATATTGTGTAATTGAAATTGTCTTTTTTTTATAGCACAGCTCTGTTTAGATTAGTCATCAATTAAAACATGATTTCCTAGACTTCTCAGTGCTATTCTCTGAATGCAAAGCTCCAAACAGGGGAAAAAAACTTGGATAAGTTCTTTAAAAAGCCCACACACATCACACATATTATTTTCTGTGCAAAATATATGTACCTGGCAGGTCAAAGGTTAATGCATATTCTTCATTCTCCTCTTCATCAGCAGTATCATATATACTGTCCATGCCATCCGTACTCAAACCATCATCATCAGAACTTAAGTGCCGACATTCCAAAGCAGGCAGATTGGTAGTGAGATTTTCCCTGTGATCAAATAAAAACCTTCCCCTCAAAATTTTTATAAAGCATAAAAAAATAGAATCTCAGTACTATATCTTTTCACCTTCTTACAATTTGAACAAAAAAAATAAATACTGCAGTTTTCACAATACATTTATAATGCTGAATACAATCTGTAATTACCAGAGATACAATATTGTTAAATACAGTACACATATTTTAACATTAAATCAAAATTGACTATGAAATAATACATGTACCGCAGAAGCTGTGATTTGTTTTGGAAATTTAAATGCTAGCCTGTGACCGACCTTTCCTTCTGTATGGACCGTATGTGTGAACACAAAGCTAGCCTGTGACTGACCTTTCCTTCTGTATGGACCGTATGTGTGAACACAATGCTAGCCTGTGACTGACCTTTCCTTCTGTATGGACCGTATGTGTAAACACAATGCTAGCCTGTGACCGACCTTTCCTTCTGTATGGACCGTATGTGTGAACACAATGCTAGCCTGTGACTGACCTTTCCTTCTGTATGGACCGTATGTGTGAACACAATGTTAGTATTTCACTGACCTTTCCTTCTGTATGGACCGTATGTGTGAACAAAGTGCTAGACTACAACTGACCTTTCTTTCTGTATCGACCGTATTTGTGAACAAAATGCTAGCCTGTGACTGACCTTTCCCTCTGTATGTGAACACAATGCTAGCCTGTGACTGACCTTTCCTTCTGTATGGACAGTATGTGTGAACACAATGCTAGCCTATGACTGACCTTTCCTTCTGTATGTGAACACAATGCTAGCCTATGACTGACCTTTCCTTCTGTATGTGAATACAATGTTAGCCTGTGACTGACCTTTCCTTCTGTATGGACCTTATGTGTGAACACAATGCTAGCCTGTGATTGACCTTTCCTTCTGTATGGACCGTATGTGTGAACACAATGCTAGCCTATGACTGACCTTTTCCTTCTGTATGTGAACAAAATGCTAGCCTGTGACTGACCTTTCCTTCTGTATGTGAACACAATGCTAGCCTATGACTGACCTTTCCTTCTGTATGGACCTTATGTGTGAACACAATGCCTTTTCCTCCTCTTCTGCCTCCTCTACATCCATCACCTCAGGGACTGCTGCCTCCTCAGTGATCACCTCAGGCTCAGGTAAGGTGGGAGGGGGGTGTACAGGGCTCTGAGTAAAATAAATAGAGGCCTTAGCATCTCCAATGATAACCTATTGAGTTTGAATTCTTCTCAATAGTACTTATAAAGGAAGAGAAAAGAAGTGCTTTGTCTTGAAACTTTGACAACAGAAATAAAAAGCTTGGTTGCACTCTTTTTGTGGCAAATATATTTTTGCAATCAAAATAAAAGAAGTAGCAATTGTAAAAGTACTTTGTAGAAAGAATTATATGCGGTATACACTGCATATCTTTGCCCCGACAAAAGTCAAATTTTGAAAAATTCTTGAAATAAGTTGAATTCTATAAATTGTATGAGAAATATTAAGTAACAGAACATATCAAATTTTTCAAAGTAGTTTATTGACAATTTTTGTTGTTATGACGTCACAAACTAGTTTGATTTTATATAACTTTTTAGAAAGAGGACAAAATGGACAAAATTTCAACAATTTTAGCTTTAAAATTAATAGAGCCCAAGTTTGCTCAGGAACCATATTTACATATTTCATTGATATTATCATTCTACACACTATATCAAAACATTGGTCCTGATCAGACCTGCGCTTGGTGACTTTTACTAAAAAATATCGACGTAATATATACATTATTCTGTACAAATCATGGAAATTTTAAATTTACGTCATTTTCGTGATGTCTTTACAAACATATGACGTCATTGCTTATAAAAAATATTCAGTGCTTTGAAGTCAGCATATATCCCCCTGTTTAAGAACATAATAAAATATTTCTCAGTCAAAGTTTGATTTAGGTGGCAAATATCGGTTACTACCGAATTAAGTTCTTTATCAAGTAACCATGACAATGCCATTTGTCAAAATAGAAACTGATAAAATCATGTACCTCATGATCGTCAACTTTACTATCACTTTAGATCTGCTTTATAACTGCAGAGTTAAAATGAATTGATTTTAACCTTTTTTGGCCTGCGAGTAGTCTTACCCTAGCCCTCATACTGAGGCGAACAACATGAAGCCGATCAGCAGCGGTCACCTCAGCTGTCTCTAGCGTACTAAGGTCATTGAACGTTTCCTTCATCTTGAAGAGTTGTTCTGTTATTATTTGTTTTATCACACTGAAAATACAAGTTCTCATTAAGTTGTTTTTACATTTAAGGGTTGTAAAGATTGCCTCTTCCCATCAATAACCAATACTGACAACATTTGGGGAAATTTACAGAGGACTGTGATAAAAATTAATTGCATACATTTTCAAAAAAAAAATTAATTAATGAATAAATGTTTATAATTCCAATTGCAAAATGCTTAAACATTTAATGAACACCATTAATAGATTTGTTAACTTTCAGCCTGATGATTGATTAACTATGATGAAGAAACTTACGCAGTTTGTCTTGGCACTTGGTTGAGGGAATCTTGAGCTTGTAGTTTTTTGTTGGTTCTGAGTAAGGCAGGAGCAAATATAATAGCTAAACCATTAGCTGACATTTTGTTTAGAGGTTCATTATTGGCTATTCTTGCTAAATGGAAAATGAGTCTTTCAAACAGATCATGGTTTGGTTTAGGGAGTTTCTCGATGACGGCATAAATAGCTTGTAATCTCTCCTTCTCATCCTGAATTTCTGAAATGTTAAATGGAAAATTGGAATACTATTGACATTTTTCTTCTTTTCTCAGGTTTATTGAATTTTGTTTAAAAAGAAATGTAATTTTTTGTAAATCTCTTAAATTTAACCTGAATTTATTTTTTTAAACAAAAATTTATCAAGAAAACTATTTATTTTCCATCAGGATTTTTTTCTTGTCTAATAATGTGAATACCTGAAGTTCTCAGAAAATCATCGTAGAGTTCAAAGGTCAATAATGGTTCTGGCAGTTCACGGAAGAAATATTTGAGCATTGTTGTTAATACATGAATAGGATACTCTTCAATGTCTATCGCAGTCAAATCTGAAAAAAAATTTAAACTTTGAGAATTTAAATAATGTACATGGTCATATCATTCATTTTTCAAAAATTTTATCCTACTTATCCAGTTTTTTTTCAATAGAATATGGACAAGCTATATGCCCAAGTAATACTGCCACAGTTAGATATCATACCTTCTTTGCCACTGTCAATGTTTTGTTTGAGTTGTTTGACCTTGGCATTAGCACCAGACTTGCGATAGACACCAACAGTATACATTCCATGGGTTTCTATGGCATTTATTAATCTTTCCACTATAACGGGGATTTTATGCACATCAGAAACTAGACTAGCTAGTGGAACACCATAAACTTTGGACCCAGGATTCTGTAAAATAAAAGAAAGGACATTTTTAATATGGTGTACAACTTTATGCAAATTGAGATGTATAATATAAAAAGCACAATAAACTTGTATGGCAATGGAAAGGAGATCTTAGTGGTTAATTATATTTTTCTGTTTGTTGATATACAAGAATGTTTAAGAAATATATACCGGTAATCTGCAACAAAAAGTTAACAGTCACTTTGAGAGAAGTATATCAATGAAGCACATCCATATAATTTTGACTGCATTAGATAACTGTGCAATTAAGTCTAGCAAGAGCCAAATAAACAAAACATTAGCAAAGTCAAATACTATTTTCAAAGAAAGCTTGATGACACAATGTATCTTTTAAGGGGTCAACACAAAATATTTTTAAGAGAAATTGTGAAAACTGGCTACATTATGTTCTTAGTAAAAATGTATATAAAGTTCTTACATAATACAATCATTTCTTTTTTAAAGACAAAATGTACAACATAAGGCAGCAAAACACCAGAGAAAAAGACAACACTGAGAACTCACAAGGTTTGACAAAACCCGCACTAAGTCACCTGAACCCCAGAAAAAGCAGCAATCAACTGGGAACTGGTGAGAGAGAGAAGGAGCAGAGTTCGTTAATAAACTAATTAATTAGTACAATGCCTAGAAAGTATAACCTGTCCTCATCTAAACAAACATGCAACTATCTGCCAATATTGTTATTGATTTTTAGCATTTGACTTTGAATTTGATAACAATTGTTAAATTCTTATTTTAACCAATTTCTGATTACAATAGATGCCTACTTGTTTTTATGTGTTAATCTATATTTTAAACTATCAATAAATGACTACTTTCCTAGCAAGACAAAGATTAGTCAGTATGCAAGGTCTGATAGACCATCACATATATCAATGTTTGCTCTTGTCAGGTTTACAATGTATTTTTTTTTGCCACCCAACAGAGGTCAAATCTAAGATAATAAGAACCCCAGCCACTGTATAAAGTTGTTCTATTTATAACCTGAGCCATATTTTTGAGCTGGACAATAAGAGCCAGGACAGTTGGTCTGGCGTGGTCCAGTGACTCGACCCGGGGTCGGAATGGTTCAAACAGTAAGTGTGGACGCGGAGGTTTGGGGGATAAAGGTCGTTTGACCGGGAGAGGAGCCTGAAATCATAAAACTCCACTTTAAATTGGGCTTTTTTCCCTCTGAGACAGTATAAATTGGTACATGTATCCATGAAAAAGCCTCGGTTGACAATGGTTTTCTTGGGGTGAAAATTTTCAATACAAAGCATTGTTTTTATTTTTTTTGGTTTACGATTTTTTTACACAAAAATATGCTTTGTTAAATTAAAAATTTTGGAACCTTGACATATTTTTTTCTCGAGTAGCATTGAAATGTATTCAAATAAGAATAATAAACACATAAGATTTTTTCAACATTGTTATTTTTTCTTAATGATATATCAACAAGAGAGTCAAATGTCAAGAAGAAATAGAGTATCAGGCTTTGTTACTGTTGATGTATTCTTCTGATTACATTTCCATAAAAGACACATTGCACGTTATGAAAATTAAGTAAAAAAAAAAGTATTGTTTCCAAAAGTGATGGATTGCTTTCACAAAAAACTTTTACCTTATTTAGATACGTGTGTCCATAAACCTTTTAAGGAGACATTTTCTCCCTCAAAAATTTTTAGGGAGAAGTTTCGAAATTTAGGGATACTTCTTGATATGGCACACATCTCTCATAACTTACATACATTTCAATAATGTTTTCTGTATAAACATTGTATTTAAAACGATTAAACAAGAGAAAGAGAATTTTAAAAGATATTTCCCCCAATTACAAGGTATATAAATATCTAGAAAAAAATAATAAAACAACATTGACATAAAGACTAATTGTTTATCAAACATTTTTTTCATTTCTTACATACATGTAGTTGCACAAGATTAATCATTAACTTCTAAAATTTCTCTTCTCATTAGATTAATCATAATTTTGTTAATTTTTCTGTTTTCAATATAAAATTCTTTTTCTAAAAAAAGTTTTGACCTGCATGCCGATTGAACCTTTACAATGTGTGACTTGTTAATAACTTCACAATTTAACAGTAAAATTATGTTTACATTTGACATCTAAAATCTTCTCCAACATCTTTGGCATGACATCGATAGCTGTCCAGCTGTTTTGCGTCTTGTTGTGTATAAGTAATGATCAATACCCGGAAGTGTAAACACATGCATTGGTCATTAGTACAGTCTGTCTAAGGTCATTTAAATGTTTAAGATGTGTTGTAAATTATAAAAACAGAAAATAAAGTAGTTTCGAGTGTCAGACACATTATTTTTATTTTTGTAAATAGGGAAAAATAAATCTAAACTATATACTAATTTTTTATACAAATTTTTTAAATTCTGCGCAGTCGCTATTTTTTGCAATACCACCGTCGTCAAGCAATGTTGACTGTTGCTACGCTGGAGGGTGTGGCTTCTTTATTCAACGGGTAATAGTGTTTTTTAACAAATGTCTCTTGGCCAATCAGATTCAACTAATTTACATGAAAGTATAATATTATAAATTGGTACATGTATCCATGAAAAAGCTCTAGATTACTAATTCTACAAAGCATTGTATGTATTTAGGTTAAATTTTGGAGGATGCAGGTTCGCAAGGAGAAATTCTAACTATTGTAGCATGATATATGAAAATAGAGCAAAGTCAAGAAAGATAGTAACTGTAACTTATATTCATATGCATCGTTATGATGTAAAAAAAAAATGTTTTCCACTGCTCTAAGAGGGATAATTCATAAATAAAATCTCAACTTCTCTTTAGATGTAGGGGATAATTCAAGATATACCGTAAATCTGGAAATTTTTGCTGTAGATAAATTTTTAGCAAATTTGCGAGTTCATTGCATTCGCAAAAATATTTTTCTTAAAAATAAATTACCAATAAGAAAATGTAAACAAAGCAGTGGTAATTCGTAAACTTTTGAAACGTAAAAATTAATCCAACCATTTAACAAGGCCAGTACAATCTATATTTGTTGAACCTTTACAATGGCTTGTTGACTTGTTTACACATCTCTTATGGCACGTATATCTACAAACTAGAAACACAGACTTCTAAGTCAAAATAAGAAAATAAAGTATATTTGAAAATAAATCTCTGTATCAAATTTTTAAAAATTTTTTTAAAACACATTATATTTACACACTTTTTCCAATCCATATAATGTTGGAGCAAAAACAGTGAATGGGTGAGACTGTTGTCATTATATACATGTACCACCAACCATAACATATAATCTATATTTGTAATAACCATTTATATATTTTGTTTTGTTTTCTGTTCAATATATAACATGCATATTCATAACACAAGATTCCTCTATTTTTTTTCTAATTATGCCAAGCACTCACATATATATCCTTCTTTGCTTTTTCTGGTTTTTGATTTTTGTTTTCCACTTTCTTGTCCGGTTTCTTCTTCTCTTTCTTGTGATGTTTGATGAACTCATCCAGGAATCCCCGGAACGCGTTGACTCCCATTGTGACTGGAAATGAAGCATTGGTCCTCTCCAGCTTCACCTCTGCCTCCAGAGTCACAGCAAACTTAGTCAGGAGATTCCTGTAGGGCAGATGAATTTCTCCTTTCTGGTGGAAAATAAAATAAAAATATTTTTGTTGCTTGAGGAGACATTGGCTTCCTGCAGGTGAAATGTTTCCAGTCCTAGAGTGCTTCTATTTATTTTCAGAATATACATGTATAATAATCTCACAAAGAAAACAGGTATAACTTGAACATTGACAAACCTGTTTTTCTACAGATATGGTTGCCTGCATCTCCTTGTGGAAGGCATTTAATGATCTTTTGAATACCTTATCAAAGATTGTCTCTTTCTTAATAACTTTGGTGTAATCTTTCAACTGGAAAAAAAAAATGTGAAACATAAAAATCTTGAAAAGAAAAAAAAAACATCACCAGATAAAGAATATTTTTAAGCTTTTTAATAAACATCATTTAATAAATAAGTAACATCATTGTTGACAGATATATTGTACCTTTTTGTAAATGAATATATCCAGGTTGGCAAACTCTGAGAATTCTGTGATGACAAGATCTGCGGGGTACTGCCACTCAGACGTTCCCTCCACCTTCCAGTTCCCCCGAGCCGGAGATTCTGACCGCTTCTTGTCCAGCTGCTGTTTCTGTCGCGGCTTCTTCCGTCCTTTACGTGGCAGATCTTCCGTGGAGGAGCGCTGATCATCAGCAGACTTAACATCCGTGGGGGAGGCAGGGGAAGGCTGGGTGGTGGGGACTTCTGTAGGTAATACCTGGACACCCACTGAAATACACAGGGGAATCTTATCTAATCATTACCATAACATAAAAAAAAATAAATTAAGGGTATACACAGAAGTATCTACCAGTTAATCAATACATTAATCTTACAGATTTGACAACACTGAAGAAACAATTGAGAATAAATAAATGTACTTAGTTTATATTTAGATTTCCTACAGAAGAAAATCAGCTCCATCATTAAATGCACTCTGATGTTTAACCTCAAAATAATAATCACAGAGCCAAGAAATCACTTCACATTTCAATCACCTACATCAAACACACATGTGACAGAGATAAGCTCTATTATTAAACAGAAATATTAGACCACAATTCTATTATTATGAATGACAAAAGTAAACATATGCAGACAGTTCACCTTAAAATTTCTGACATCTCATTACTTGGGTATTTTTCAATACATCTGGCTAATTATTTACGACTTCCACATGCCATGTTTATTTCCCTACCCAATGTGCTTTGCTTGATTATCAGTATTGAAAAAATTCAATCAAAGAAAGTACTTTCTATACAAAATCATAATGCACGGGTCCTCAAAAATTCTTATTTTTAAACAAAGTGTAAGATCACTTTAAAATTGAACAATATTCATTTAATACAGTATAAGATATGTTATTGTTAAGAGTTGCCATAACCTGGTTTTAAAGAACTCTCTTCAGATCAACATTTAATACTTGACATATAAAATGTCATGATACTACTCAGTTATACCTGTGGGGTGATTTGTTTGCTTTACATGTTCATTTCTTGCTATATACATTTTACAAATTTGTACTTCTTCAATGGCTTATCACCTTATGGGGTCTGCTTTGATTGTCCATTACTTACATTTCTCTATCCATTTACCTGGTAGTTTGCTTCATATTCTGACTTATGTAGATTTTTATGGGGTCACTCTGGTCCTGTATTTACTAAAATTTATGGGGTCTCTCTTCTCTGTATTCACTTATATTGATGGGGTCATTCCTCTTGCCCTATTATTACTTACATTGATGAGGTCATTCCTCTTGCCCTATTATTACTTACATTGATGGTAGGGCTGGGTATTGACCCGAAATTTCGTATCGCGATATATTGCGATATTTTAAACTGTATTGCGATATGTATTGCAATATTTTCAATGTAATTTAAATGGCATTTGCTTCCTATATTTACTTTAATTTACACGTAGAATATACAAAACTATGATACGTAACCAACACGGAAAAAAAATCTTGATTTCTTCCAAGTTATGCTCTTTCCCCGTGGGGATCCGGGTTAGAATAGGTCCTCAGTACCCCCTTGCTTGTTGTACAAGGCGACTAAATGGGGCGGTCCTTCGGATGAGACCGTATAAACCGAGGCCCCGTGTTACAGCAGGTGTGGCACGATAAAGATCCCTCCCTGCTCAAAGGCTGCAAGTGCCGAGCATAGGCCTAAATTTGCAGCCCTTCACCGGCAATGGTGACGTCTCCATATCAGTGAAATATTCTGGAGCGGGACATTAAACAGTATACAATCAATCAATCAATCCAAGTTATGCTCTGAAATGTTCCTACAAAATAACTTCTGTCTTACTGTTTGGTTTAATAACAAACTTTCTTAAGTCCATTTTTTATATTTAATGACCAATTTCCTTAATCTAAGCATATTGCCAATATATCGATATTACAAAATCGTATTGCGATACGATATTTTTTGTCATTGTATTGCAATATATTGAAATATCGATATTATTGCCCAGCCCTAATTGATGGGGTCATTCCTCTTGCCCTATTATTACTTACATTTATGGGGTCATTTCTCTTGCCCTATTATTACTTACATTTATGAGGTCATTCCTCTTGCCCTATATCTACTTACATTTATGGGGTCGTTTTGGTTTCTGCAGCTGGATTGGAGCTGTTTCTTCGTCACTGTCTTCATCTTTTTTGACCTGTCTTTTACCTGTTGTTTACAAAGAAACCATTGATAAAATGTTCAAGTAAAATTTAGTTAACTTTCTTCACCAGTTAATTCAAATATCAGTACAGTAACCTATCCAATTCAAACAGTTTAAACAAACACAAACTATAATAAAGGAGTGAAAAATTCAAATCACATCAATTCTCACTGCAATCCAAATTATCTGTCAACTTGGTAAAGTTTAAACAATATGAATTCACAATCAATTATTCTAAAAACTAATACAATGACAAAGATGTACATGAATATGATTTTTACGGTAACCCATGGGTAATGCAATTTATATGAGCCAACTTCATAACATAAAAAGTAATGAAAACTTCATGAAATCCATTAGTGAAGTTAATGAGTAAATGAAGAATGAAACACATGTATATGATACAGTAGTTTAATTTAAGTAAGATTAAAGTACCAGTTTTCATTCCTTGTACAGTTTACATGCTATAATATTGTGTGAATCTTAGGAAAACTTTATAGTTTCATATACAGGTATTTGTTAGTTAAATGTATAAAGTTAAGTTTTTTTTCTCAATACAACATGTTATAATACATTAACGATGTAAAATAATAAACTATTTTTCCTGATCTATAAAATAGCCTTAGATATTTGTACATATAGACATTAATATCCATATAAAATTTCACAATTTAATAGTCTGATACATGGGAATGCACTGATCATTTTAATGATTGGTATGAAAATTAAATATGAATTTCCATGCTTCAATGGACACAGCAAATATAGGAGTGATTTTTTTAAGTAGCTCAGTAAAGTCCAAAAGGTTCAAGCCTACTCAAGTCAACCATGCTGAGCCACGTTACTCACTGCTCCTGTGGCGCAGGAATCGGAAGGACGATGACCTAGATCCGATTGGTGGCATACAGCTCGTCGCTTCTTAACGAGACAAGAAATTCCCACACTTACTTAAACAAGACCATATACACAGGATATTGTTCATGTGTCAAGGCAATATGGGGGAGATGGATCGGCTTCAGAAAAATTTCATTCTCATCAGTTTTTCAAGTAAAGAAATGGAAAATGGAAACAAATTTAGTAAGAAAGCAGTCTGTTCAATCTAACTCACGTTCTTTGTTTTAATGATTTATTTTTTTAATTCCTACAGACTGATTTTTTAGGATGAAAGTATAGAATGAATGTTATTGTGGGATGGAAGATATTTGAATTAGTAGTTGTTGTACTGCAGTTTAAAAAATAAATACTTAACTGAAATATACTCTACCATGTGCAAGTTTAAATACATGTGGAGCAAACTTAGAAAAATTGTTAGTTGACCAATTCTATCTACTAACGCCAAATGCTGGAGGTTAGCTTATCTGAGACATAATTATACAGAGAAAGAAATTTCAGACTTTTCTCCACTATTATTCTCATTCATCTTTGGATGATCAGACAATTTAACCAAGAACAAAATGCAGAGTGACAGGAAATCATGCACTGATCCATACTCCATATGATTATGTCTCGATGGCTATATGAAATGATATCATGATTCTTGCCTTTGAGACTCCCTGTAACAAATGATAATAAAAAAAAACAATTGACACCTAATGTCTAAAGACCAGAGAACATATATTTGAGAAAATAAGACCAAGGTATTTAACATACAATTTCAGCTATCTTGAAACTAAAGAAATAGTCAAGGTAGAACCCTTAATCCAAAAACATAAAAACATATAGAGACTAGAAAATCTACATACACTAACAAATGGTGTAAAATGGAATGAATCTACTGTTATGACGTCTCTCAATGTTTTATCTATATGATGATGAATTTTGCGTGGACATTTACCTCCTACAAAGTTCTTGAAGTGGCGCCGAGCTTTCCTGAATGGACTTTTATGGGCAGCTGAGAAATCACCGAGAGGTGAGGGTGGGGTTTCTCCATGCTCCTCCCGGCGTTTCCCCAGGGTCTCCTCCAGTGTTTTAAGTCTGGTGGGGGACAGCAGGGTGGGGGAGGGGGTAGAAGGTTCCTGTAACACGGCCAAGTATGCAATATTACCATGATTAGTATCCAAACAAAATATTTATATGAATTTATTGTGCATAATAAAGCATTAACATCTATTCTGAATCCATTCCTCTATATATCATTAAATCATACCGCAGATAAATATATTGTAAATACAGTTACACATATGCATATCATACTACTAGCTACATAAAAGCATAACACAATAACTTATATGCTAAATATTGTACATAAGGTATGACTGGAAGCTTATGAGTGAGATACAGAAATAATTGTTTTACACTGGACTTCTGTAATGTAATAAATGTTGTGGAGATTAAGTTATTGCTATATTAAACTTTTGATTAAAACACCTTTGTGAATATTAGACTCAATTGGTTTTCTCTTCATGAAGTTTGATACAGTTATTAGTGACAAAACATTAATTCTTTTAAACATTAATTCTTTTAAACATTAATTCCGTTTAAGTTGGTAATAGATTCTATTATCATACAATAGACAAATAAATATTGTAGAACAAGACATGCTTCTGAAACACAATATTCCTAAATCTAAATGCCAAGGAACATGGCCATAGTCAGATATTGAGCAAATATAACTGGCTTTGTCTGGATCTCTCTCACTTAAAAACTTAAAACCTATGTTAAAGTTCAGTAAATACAGAACTAAAGCTAGAACTGGCCAAAACAGACAAATATCCCCTGCTGTTTTCTTTTTTTTAAAGAAAGTAGTACCAAGTCTCTTAGGGTATTTTGCTGATCTGGAGTTTCTACAGTCAGCAGGCAGGCAGATGGAGATCATGAATGCAAGATTACAGTATACTCTATCAAACATTGCTACAATGTGGCAAGGAGGGGGGAGGTTTACATTGTAAAAATCAAAATAACTGCTTGGGTAATTCTTGAGAGACAAATAAGAACACAAGTTACAACTGGGTAAAATGAAAAAGCTATCAATTACAAAAATAAAACTCTTCAAATGAAAAATCTGTGAACAAATATCAAAAAAAGGAGGGGGAAAAGGGTTGTGTGAATACAACAGTAAATAACAAATAAAGGCAACACACACAAAACACAGGCTAAGACACTGTACATGGGTTGTTAAACTGTAAAATAAAACCACAAAAGCAGATACACCAAGAAAGCTCCAGTTACAACAGCCAATGGACCTACCAAATCCGAGAAGGATTCTTGTTTGGCCAGTGGGGCAGGAAACGACCTGGTTCTTTGTTTATGGGGCCCTCTTTCTAAATATATAGTTTTATGACTGGTGCCCTCTCTTACAGTGTCCTATCAAAATGTACCCACAAACACATGTATCATGCAGTTTATATCATATTTTTTTCAGACTGCATCCTTCAGTTATGTGATAACTCCAAAATAAATGAAAACAGTATCATCCAGCTTTAAAGATTTCAATTTAAAAAGATTAATGACTTTTACAGACATGCATATTAGAAGGAGTCACGAAATATTTATTAAGTGTCAATATCACCAAACAACACATATTGATGTATACACTTTGCTTACCTGGAAAGACTTGGCAAGACTTGAAACTCTGTTAAAAAAAATCAAAATAGGGATAATGAATGAAGTATTTACATATGTAATAAACAGATTTTTTTTTTTACATAACAAATTTTCAATTGAAGTTTCTTTTGTTGAAATAATGAATTCATAAGTAATGAAATATATTTTCTATTGATACATGTATGACAATCAGACTGAACTGATCTAATTTTGTTAAGATCAGCAACAACAAAAGCAATTTTAAATCTGAAAATAAATAACATATTTTTACAAAAAGAAAACAGCATGCTTTGTTAATTTTCATGCCCCAGATGGGCTTATCCCAAATTCATCCATTTCTGTTAAAGAGATGTAAAACCCACAGTTGCCCAAACATGCAAGTATCTGTCTTTGACTATACAATTCTATAGTGAATTAATTGAATTTAGAATTATAGTTACAATATGTCAAAGTAACTAAACAGTATTCATGTTTATGTACTTATAATCATAGGATTCATACCGACGTGTTACTATGCTTTAATTTCCTGATCAATGTCAAAATCTGTTTCGTGTTACGCTATCTATATAAGCTTTTTTTTACTGAATATCCTGAAATAAGTACATATACATGCTAAATACATCATACAAGCAGTAATACTACAGGACTACTGACTACATACTGTAAACCAACTATTATCCATATCATCTTTTATCTGCAATTTGTAAGTTTGAACTCAATCCACAACAATCAATTTTTCGCTACTGGGAAAAATTCTCTAAAAGTACAAAGCAAAATAAATGGCTCATGTCAATTATTACTCATGAGTTCACGTAGGTAGTTAAACTTGCATAAATTTCTCACACAAGAATAAATGTTGGTTTACAGTATCTAAAACAAATCTGAAACTAACTACTCTCATACAACTGATACAAGCTCTTTGATTAAAAAGGGGTAGTTCAGGGTTGGTTTTGGTAGGGAAAAATTATGTTAAAAACAAACTAAAAGTATTGGAATATTTTGTAAACAAGAAACTTCCCACAATAAAAAATTCTTGAACACTGAAAAGAAACCAGCCAACTAAATTGATTAGTCTGAACAGCCGAACAGACAGGTTTTCTGGGTTGAGTTGAAACAGAGAAAGCTGTGGAACAACAACGTGGAAAAACAGTGCTAGCTCTGTGATACTCCCTTTACCTAGAGGTGGACCGAGCTTGGTTAAGGAATTCATCATCTGGATGTTTGATGGTGGGCTGTACCAAAACAATAGTTGGGGGGTTGACAGGACTCGCGTAAGAGATGGACTTTTCCTTTATCTTGGAGTCCACCGTGTCGGACTCAGAATCCTCGACCTCATGGATCCCGCTGCTCCTGATTATTTTAAATGATAATGAACCTCAGGCTAGGTATATATTATGTAATCAACAGGCAGGAAAATCCTTGCAAGATTTATCAAAACCAAGCTGTTGCAAAACTTTCCTTTTTAATGGACTTAATTTAAAAATTTCAAAATTTTTGAGATAAATGCAGTTATTCAGCATATTGAGGAACCACAGGATTTTCTTTTTCACATAAGATAAACTTCCAAATTTCAACAAACTGATAGGGCTTTCAACATTTTCTTTAAATCTTTTCTTTAGGTTCCTCCATCTGACCAATTGAAAAAAAAAAATCTTGAGGGAATTTTTTTTCGATAGCAAAATTGTTCAGACTTTAAAGAATCTTTTCTACATATAATAGGTGTATATTAAAATTTATATGAAAATTGCTCCTGTGGCCATGTTTCCATAACCATAATTGTGTTTCATATAATCATGCATGTTTATAAATGTAATATTTAAATGCAAATATATAAATATATACTAAAAAACACCTATAAGTTGGAGGTTTTTAAATGTAAAACCCCTGTTTACGATATATCTATACTTACCTGCATCAACTTTTTGCATTTTCCCCGGGCTGCCTACGATTTTGCCTGAACTTTTGAGACCACCCCTGTGGTATCATACACTATGTGTATACCCATAATGCGCTAGCACTTCCGCTTCAGTTTTGTGAGGACCTAGAGAACTAGGACCCAAAAAAATAACTTATAAGGGGTGGGTGATGCAGGTAAGTATAGATATATCGTAAACAGGGGTTTTACATTTAAAAACCTCCAGTTTACATCAATATCTATACTTACCTGCATCAACTTTTTGCAGAATTTGTAGCAGAAATAGGGCGGGATAATGAGAAGTTAATTTACTAACTATAAAAATAGTAAAATAAAGATTGCACTCACCAATACAGGTGTACTTTATTTCTATTCTTTTCCCTTTGCCCATCTGGATGTGTCAAGGACTGAAGACTTGGCAAACCGAGCTTCACCTTTAGGAACATCCCTCATGTAGAAAGAAGTAAAAGTACTTTCTGTTGCCCAATGAGCCGTCTGTAAAATTTCTTCAACTGTTGCTCCATTGAAAAGGGCCCATGAAGTGGCCAGTCGTCTTGTGTCATGTGCACGTATGCTACATAAAGGTTCACTATGGTCATTGTGTTCATAAACAAATTTTACAAGAGATACAATCCATCTTGATATGGAATTCTTGGATGCTGGTTTTTGTAGATCTGATTTGTAAGTTAAAAACAAACACTTTTCATTACCACGAGAAGACTTTGTTCTTTCCAGATATATTTTTAATGCTCTGCATGGACACAAAAGCAAGTCTCGACTGTCTGTTGCATAGGTGTTAAACTCTGGTATGAACATAGGTTTCCATGGCTTTCCCAATCTTTGAGTTTTGGCCAAAAACTGCATATTTGGTAAAAGTCGAATTCCGTTCCTTTCTAAACGCAAGTGCGTCTCTCCTGTAGAAAGGGCATGAATTTCACTCACTCTAGAAGCTGTTGACAATGCTACCAGAAACACAGTTTTCCAAGTAAGAAACTTCATATCACAGGAATTCATTGGTTCAAAAGGATAATCACACAATTTCCATAGAACTGATGGTAGATCCCAATTTGGAAGTAATGGTCGTACATTTGGTTCAGAATTATAAATTCCTTTAATTAATTTCGATATATCAGTATTGTTACTGACAGAACTGTTACTCCAACCTTTGTGAATAGATGCTATAGCCGATCTATAACCTGTAATAGTGTTTGGCTTACAACTGCGTTCTTCATGCAAGTAGATGAAAAAGTCGGCCAAATCAGCTACAGAGGCCTCAAATGGATCTTTCTGGTTTGAGGTGCACCATTCTCTGTAGATTCGTAGTCTAGCATCATACATTTTTCTTGTTGATTCTCTGCGAGAGTTGGAGATGAAGGACTTAGCTTTTTTAGAAAATTGATTCTCAAAACTTTGTCGTTTGATATTTTCCAAACAGCCAAATTTAGACTTTCTGGACTTGGATGAATGAACTGTCCCCTCTTTTGTGTTAACAAGTTTGTCATTATTGGTAGTTCCCTTGGAAAGTCTATTAACAGATTTAGTAGGTCTGGAAACCACGACTGTCTTGGTGAGAACGGAGCTATGAGAAGGAGCACACACGTTTCCTGTTCTACCTTTTTCAGCACTTTTGGAATTAGTATTGGTGGCGGGAATGCATATGCAAACATTCCTATCCAGTCTGCAGCTAGAGCATCGCATCCCCATGCTAGAGGATCCGGGAAGGGAGAACAAAAAACTGTTAGTTTTCGATTTTCCCTTGTCGCAAACAGATCTATGTTTGGAGTGGAGAAAATGTGAAAAATCTGTTGAACTACTCCCTGATTGAGACTCCATTCTGTCATTTTCGGAATTTGTCGTCCTCTGGACAACTGGTCTGCTATCACATTCCTTTTCCCAGGAATGTGGGCTGCATGAAGTTGTACACCCCAAAGGCGACACCAATGCAGAAGCCTCCATGTCAACATACACAGGGCTGGAGATTTTGTTCCTCCCTGGCGATTGATGTAAGACACGACTGTTGAGTTGTCTGTCCTCAATAGGATCTGTTTGTGTTTGACATTGTTTTTGAAGTGATGAAGGGCTTTTTCCACTGCACTGAGTTCCAACAGATTTATGTGTGACAGTTGTTCCTCCATTGACCATCTGCCTGACACATTGCGATCTTCTAGGTGGGCTCCCCATCCGTAAGATGAGGCATCTGTCCACAATGTTAGATCTGCCCTGAAACTTAGGATAGATGTCCCCGCAAGGACGTTCTCTTGCTTTGTCCACCAAAGTAGATGTGGAATGAGGAATTCGTTGACCTGAATCATGTGTTCCAGGTTGTCCAGATGTGGACGCCACTGGGACAATAGGCAGAATTGAATTGGGCGCATTTGTAGTCTGGCAAAAGGTACCAAGTCTATGCAGGCTGCCATTAGCCCAAGGACTCTGAGAAAAGTATGTGCTGGGATGAAAGAAACTGTAACCATGGTTGAAATTACTCCACAAAGACTGTGGAAACGGTCCAAACTTGGGTAAACCATACCATGTTGGAGGTGAAATAGAGCTCCCAGATAAGTAATCTGTTGAGTTGGTTGTAGTATTGATTTCGATTGATTTATCACCAGACCTAAATCCATCAGCAGCAACAGAGTTCTCTGTAGTTGGTGCATTAATGTAATTCGATCTGCATTTTTCAGCAGCCAATCGTCCAAGTACATGTAAATGAAAATCTGCTGACTTCTGAGATGCGCTCCTACAGCTGCCATTAATTTTGTGAATACTCTTGGAGCTGTTGCAAGACCGAACGGCATTGACCTGAATTGATAATGGTTGTTGTCTATACAAAACCTGAGGTATTTCTTGTCCGCTGGATAAATCGGAACATGTAGATATGCATCCTTTAAGTCTATTGATGCAACCCAATCTCCTACATTCAAAGCTTGTATGATTGACTTCAGAGATTCCATCTTGAAATGCTGATTTTGGAGAAAAACATTTAAGGGTTTCAAATTGAGAATTGGACGGTACCCTCCGTCTCTCTTTGGAACCACAAAGAAGGTGCTGTAAAACCCGTGGCCTTCCTGGGCCTTTGGAACAGTCTCTATGGCATGTTTTTCTAATAAACTTTTTATTTCTTCTAAAATACATTGTTTTTGAGCAACATTTTGTACATTTGTGATTCTTACTCCTGTCTTTGGAGGGTGTTTTAAGAAAACAAGCTTGAGTCCTTCCTGGACTATCTTTAAAACCCATTCGTCGGATGTAATTTTCATCCACTCCCTGTGGTAAGAAAGGATCCGACAGCCTACTTTGGCTGATTTCTGCAACTCTAGGCGAGTCTTTAGTTGAACTTGTAAGCTTACTTCTGGGGACGAAACCCCAAACGATCTTGGACCGAGTTTCGATTCTGGTTTTTGAAAGAAACCTGAGAATTCAACTTTCGTCCTCTTCCAAGGCCAGTCTTTGCATTTCTATCAGTTGAAAACTTCCCCTTCTTTGCCACAGTTGGTTGCTGTTCTTTCTGCTCTGAAGTACTAGCCGACTCTTCTCTTTTCCTCTTTCTTGCAGAATTTGGATTAGACCCATCTCTCTGCTTTGAATTTCTCAAGTGTTGTGTTTCTTTAGCATCCCTCAAACTTTCTGCACTTGAGTGAAGGATGTCAAAATATTTCCCACAAAAGAGTTTAGGATTCAGAGTAGATTGTACAAGGAGTTTATTTTCAGTTGCCTTGTTTTTAAATGCAAGATCTTCGACGTGAATGGCTCTTCGTGCCGCAACTGCACCCACTAAAATACGTGAAGTAACATCAGCCATTGACTTAAAAACTTGCATCAGTGCTTGAAGGGCCTCTGTCTTGTCCTCATCAGATACTACATTATCCACATATGAGGTAATAAGAGAAGCGTAAGTCAACTCTCTCATAAGAAGACGTGACTCTTGATCTATCTTCCACAACTCATTGTTACGTGAATGTAACGTTGGATTACGGAAACGGTAAGAATTTTTATTACCTTTCCTTGCGAAGCTACTGTCCTCAATATTATCATCAAGTCGTGGCGTTGTGCAATATTTATCAAAATCTGCAGATGTTACTCTGTACTTCTCATCATCTGAAGCCTTATAAGTGCGTATTGTACCCTTACGCTGGAACTCCTCATCAACGTCCATTAACGTGTTCAAGATGTAACCATCTAGAGGCAATGCTTGTTGTGGGGTACACGTTTTTGACCCTATCAAGCGTTCTGACATATACGACTTGAAATCTCGATCCTGATTTTCAGAAGTTTTCTCAGAATCTATTTTTAATTCAGAAGTAACCTTCTTAACAAAATTTTTCCAGTCAACTGTACATGAATCATTAAATTCTGTATGCACAGAACCTGCAACGGAGTTATCAAACTCGGACTGGTTGTCCTCATCATGGACTTGAACAATATCGTCAATTTGTGAATTGTTCACAACTGGATCGTTGTCACCTCTGTGACTTATAAGATCCTCATCATCTGACTCTCTTGAGTGTTGATCATCTGAAGGTCGAAATCTATCGAACCTCGTAGACCTACTCTGTGAACTTGTAGCAGACGGTTTTTCAGTCTGTTTACTTGCGCCATGTACTAATTCTTTAACCCTGGCGTCTATCAAATTTCGCATGAAATTTTCTTGATACTGCTGCCACTGAATTTCAAAATTTCCCAGCATAAAAGGGGGTAAATTACTCATTTGTGATGGGAAAACCCCCTGTGCCAAATTGCCGCCATTTTGTCTCACGTCCGAGAGAGGTAGCGATTCTGATACAACTACGTTTCCCACAGAGGAAGCTTGTGAATCAGAACAAGTATTATTCCCCACAGAGGGAATTTCTGTCGCTGGATTTGACACCGTGGCAGATTTCTTACCAGTTTCAGATTTCTTGCGTTCAATCATTTTATTCATCAACGCCCGTTTTTCCTCTGTCCAAGTTATGCAAACTTCACAGGGAAACGCTTCATTGCAGACGCGATGTCGATAGCATTCCGCGTGATCGTCTAAAACTGTCATTTCTCTGTTACACTTTTTACATATTTTGTACGAATCAGACATCGTTAATCGCAGGCTACTAAAAAGAATTAATCACAGAAGAAAACACGCGGTTCTCTTCCAAGATGCCCGAACAAAACTGAAGCGGAAGTGCTAGCGCATTATGGGTATACACATAGTGTATGATACCACAGGGGTGGTCTCAAAAGTTCAGGCAAAATCGTAGGCAGCCCGGGGAAAATGCAAAAAGTTGATGCAGGTAAGTATAGATATTGATGTAAACCTTGTGTATTGTGTATAGTGGTTTACATGGCACACATCCCAATCATTGAATCTTGATTTTGTGCATTCCTATAATTAAATATTATCATAAAGCTGCACACTACACACAAGACTTAATCAAACACAGCATACATATATAAAGTGTAAATGACAAGCTTTTGCTTATATTATAAAACTTATGTTAACTATGTGAGTAGAGCGAGTTGCTTTACATTTGTATTGGGTGGGTTTGATTTGCTGTACATCTGTCTAGGGTGGGTTTGATGACTTACTCTGAGTGACGCCTGCTCTCTGTTGGCAGCTGATCCAGCTCCTCCGTACTGAGTACACCCTCGTCACTCGTCGTGTCCGCTTGTTTCTGTCGCCTCTCTTCTTCCCTTCTTCTCTCCAAGGCCTCCTCAATTTGACTTCTGTATCTGTTACCAGATATATTTAACAGTGCATAAAGAAGGGTTTAACTATGATTCTGTTACTTTCAAATGAGATAAAAATTACTTGTAATTTGAAGTATAAATACTTAGGAGGAAAACTGCATAGACTATACTAAATTAAATGAAATTCTTTTATTCACTAAAAAAAATTCTTTCTTCTAAGGAGATTTGTTCATACTGTCTGCGAATCCTCCATCCCTTGTACCAGCTCTGTATAAGGATAACAGCATTGACTGTAATCAGGTAATGTCGCCTCGCTCTCCAGCCCCGCATGAATCGCTGAATGGTAACAACCGCTCGCAGTTGTCGCTTTAGCCTTAGTTTACGCTGCTTGGCAAGGTACATCCTAATTATAGCCTGAAATTTATGTCCATCATTATCATTTGCTACCTCAAAATGATACATTTCCAACTTCAGAGGACTTATGCTTTTCAAAACTTCGACTAACATATGTAATATATAATCGTCAATAAAGCTACTGAATGAACATGTATTCTGTTACATAATCACTAGCCTGTTACCTGTATAACTAGTGTACTACTTCTTAAAGCCACAAAGTGTCTTCTTTCCAGGATAGTTTTAAACCAGCGCTGAATACGGACTACTCGCAACATAATGGCAGAATGCAAAGCCTCATCAAGGAAGATCTTTTCTGACTCCCGAAGGAACACCTAAAAAGAAACACATGGACAATAATGAAATATTTCACAACCTACACAATAAAAACAAGCTTCTTAAATATTAATAAATGCAGAAACATGGTAATATCCCCTACCTTTGTAATACCAATCTGGAAGTTATCTTTATCAAGGTTCTTGGATTCTAAAAACTCAGCAACATCTTCTTTTGAACTCAAGGAACCCTTAGGAAGAATGATCTTATAAAGCTGAATGAACTCCTGTAAAAAAATATAATGACTATGTCAGTGGCATATATAAATTTTCGATAAATTCTTTTACTGTAAAAACAATGATACCTTGTTCTCAGTACTTGAGATTAAAATGATATGGATGGCACTGTATGTAAACAAGAAAAGGAATGTTGTAAATGTCTATCCAACTCTCGGAAGGTAGTGTACCTCAAACGTGAGCCTGTAGTTGTAGCCTGATTGTCGGATTTTGACTGTAGCCAACATCCCGGTGTACCTCAGTTGTCTCAGCACTAATACGTCATCAAAAGTACAGGGCAGCTACAAAACACAAACAGTCATATCATCAAATGTACAGGGCAGCTACAAAACACAAATAGTCAGATCATCAAAAGTACAGGGCAGCTACAAAACACAAATAGTCAGATCATCAAATGTACAGGGCAGCTACAAAACACAAACAGTCATATCATCAAATGTACAGGGCAGCTACAAAACACAAATAGTCAGATCATCAAATGTACAGGGCAGCTACAAAACACAAACAGTCAGATCATCAAATGTACAGGGCAGCTACAAAACACAAACAGTCAATCATCAAATGTCAGATCATCAAATGTACAGGGCAGCTACAAAACACAAATAGTCATATCATCAAATGTACAGGGCAGCTACAAAACACAAATAGTCAGATCATCAAATGTACAGGGCAGCTACAAAACACAAATAGTCAGATCATCAAATGTACAGGGCAGCTACAAAACACAAATAGTCAGATCATCAAATGTACAGGGCAGCTACAAAACACAAATAGTCAGATCATCAAATGTACAGGGCAGCTACAAAACACAAATAGTCAGATCATCAAAAGTACAGGGCAGCTACAAAACACAAATAGTCAGATCATCAAATGTACAGGGCAGCTACAAAACACAAATAGTCAGATCATCAAATGTACAGGGCAGCTACAAAACACAAACAGTCAGATCATCAAATGTACAGGGCAGCTACAAAACACAAATAGTCATATCATCAAATATATAGGGCAGCTGCAAAACACAGTCAGAGCATTTCTAGTGTCCCTTTTTGTAAATTCAGTATCAACCTTTGAACAATATTTCAGTGTATTGATAAGAGGAAAATACCTTGTCAGCATTAGACTTGATACATCGGATGAAAAATGGGTTGGCCTGTTGTAATGTTGTCATTAGTTTGGACAGAGACCACTGAAAAATATTCAAAGCCAAGTTAAATACAGAAGAATTCTTAAAAATCATTATTGCACCAAGACTGATAAGTAAACTCACCTGAAACTGGGCACTGACACTAGCTGGCTGTTTCTTGGAGGTGAGTCTATTAGTCATAGTACGACTAGCAATAGCTTTCAGAGTTTTAATGTCCCTCAGCATCTACAAATGGAGAAAACAAAGGGAATCTTAATACCGGTAGCTAAAATCACTTACACAGACAGCTCTGTAGACTTCTAAAGTTTTCATTAAGAATTCAGTCCTAAAGAATTGACTTACTGTTGGAGGTCTTGGTTTTGGCCGGAATGACTTGTTTTTCCTGAAAAAATGTTCCCAATTTTTAAAACTATGCCTTACACAGGTTTAAAAATCAAGAAAAAGCTTGAGAAAAAAATGTCAAAAGTGTTCAAAAATGTTTCTTAATTAAGATCAATTAAAACTTTGAATATCAATTATATCTTAAATTACTTTATGTTCATCTCATAAAGCACATGCTTCAACCATATTTTGACAACAACATTAATGTTGAAAAAAGGTAAAGCAAAATCAGAAGAAGGAAAGAGTAAGAGAATCATGCAAAATGCCAGCATGCAGAGAAACATACAATATAACATGATTGGCCTTTCTGTAAATCCTAATTTCCTCATCAGACATGTGGACCTCACTGGGACTGCGCTGTAAGTCTAAGTTAAGGAATACACTGTCATCATCAGGAAGTCCGCTGTCGTCCATGTCTAGGAGGATGTGAAGAGGAGAGTACGGCGGATGCCCTCGCTTGTGTTGACTACTGCAGGGAAATCAGGAGGAGAGAATTCTATACATGTAATCATGCAAGGGAGATAACCGAAAGCAATCTAGCAACTAGGCACAATAAACCCTTAAAGGAAGTAAAAATCCCTCAATGGCTCTAACAGTTGAAAAAAATTAATATACAACATAAATAATTCCAAAATCATGCCACAAAATAAACAATCCACAAAATAAATTTATCTAAAATTGAATTCAACTCCATTTCAAAATTGCAAATTGAAATCTTGCTTGATTAATGTAAAATTTAAGCCAATTGCATGTCAAATAAATATCCTACACTTCTTTAAATTGCTGGAGATTGTGACAGTTTCAAAAAATCAAAATTCTGCACAACGAAACAAAATTACAAAATGACAATATCAAATTTTTAGTTTTCTTGTTAAGAAGAGAGAAAAATCACACCTTTCAGCAAGCCCACACTTAAAACAAATAAAAACCTCAGGCTTCCAAACTTACTGAATGGAGCGTAAAAGTTTCATGGTACTGGCTATAGTGTAGAATCTGTGGTTTAACAATAACAGAAAAATGGAGGCCACAAAATCACACACAACTTAAAATCTGGACAAAAATACATGTAACTACAAAATCAAAGCCAAGATGGGGACAAGTCCAACTGGATTACAGTCTAACGTCAGATATCTCAACAAGTTCTTAAAACAGAACTTTTCTTACTCTTTTTTTCTTTAAATAAAACAGGTTATTATGTCACAAATTGCAATAATTTTCTTTCATATGAATTCGTCGGATTCCAGGCACTGATGTTGGACTGTATGAAGAATGCTTTACTCCATTACTTAGCTAAACATCAATCAGTTCTATGTTTTGTTACTTATTTCTATCATGATATATATATATATTGGTAAAGTATAGATTATTTTATATATATTTGGAAACTGTGCTTCAGATACATGTATATTGAAAGCCAGAAGTTATAAATTCATCATCCAGAAGACACATTTAAAATTAAAACATTTGAATGATTCAATGCAGATTTGGAAAAAAAAAACATAATGTAAAATAAATGATTCCAAATGTAGAAGTATAGGACATATATTGTATAGATACAGCATATCTGAAGACAGGCAGAGGGCAACACCTGGTCATCTTTACTGCCTTAAGCAGAAATTAGTAATTGTGATAATAAATTCTTTTCTTTCTTTCTTTTTTTTTTCCAAAAAGACCCTTTTGACTAAAAATAACCAGCTGTGCAAAGGGAGATAACTCAGGGTATTTGTGTAAGAATAGAGTATGATGGAATTGTGTAATAAAATAGTATGCTGGATACAACTCACTTCAACAGGTTCTCTCCTGCCACCAGATTAAAGTCAAAAGAATTCTTTCTGTTCTGCTTTTGAACATCTTTCTTTACTCCTAAAAGAACAAAAACTCTCTATATTTCAAAGAATATATACTGAGAAATAACTGAAGGTAAAAAAATTCAGCTATATTATTTATTTGCTTTAACAAAGAAAAAGAACAGACCATTTTAATTCAAATCCTTGTTAGATTCCTTTCAGGAAACAAATGAAAGAAAAATATACCAGATCTCAGGGAAGGTGAACAAGTCATATTTTAACATGTTAAATTAAAGCTATTTTATAACTTCATTCTACACCCACCCCCATTATTCCTGTAGCTCCGTCCAGCTGCTATGAAAGCAAACACACTCTTGACTAGAGTTTTGATGATAGACCATCGAAGCACCGCTACTGGGTCCAAACCTACAATCAGGTATCAAAAGTACCGTCATCTACTTGATCAAAGTTGGAAACATAAATAAATATCAGTGGTAAAGCTACTTTGGATGGGAAAGTGACTTACCCGTCAGTTCCCTGAGGAAAGCCAGATTGCTGCTCTTCAGTACACTAACTATGTCTGGCCTTACCTGGTCCACATTCTTCTCTCGAAAATCCTACAAAAGATATATTATTGTTACAAAAAATATGTTTTTAGAAATCTTACCAAACTGGATGTAATTGAAAAGAAAATCTTTGACACGTATCTTCGTCTCAATATGAATTCTGACCTTGATTAGATATTTGACTTTGCCAGCATAATGAAGAATAGCAAAGGACTCCTCCCTGACATTTGGCACTTGGTAGTATGTTTTGCCTTTGTGATGGTGGTTGAACTTGGAAAGTAAAGTTTCATTTGTAGCACCAGGAAAACTGAAATACATAAAATTTCACAACTCAAATATTTATCCAAGATATAAAGGAAGCCAAATTAACAAACACTGTTCAACATAATGTTAAATACAAATGAGGTAGATTCTCAACTGTCTGTACAGAATACTCACTTGCACTCTTCGTCCAGCAGACAGAACAGCCCGTCAGGTCGGCGTGAGAAGAGCTCCAGACAGCCAGTGTTATCTATAAACTCTATGTTCTTCCACTGAATCCCCTCCTTCTTGTATTCCTCCTGGAATTAGTATTGACAATGGGCCATTACACCAAATTAAAACTGATTAAAATTCTCAAATTATAATGCATTTTTTAGATTCTGAAAGTGGTCTAGTAAAACAATACAAAAAAATTTAAAGGAACAATACCACACTGCTCCAATTTACACTGAACCCAAATGTAATTTATCACTTCCCCAGGCCCGATCCACCCACTCAAAGAGCATTACTGTATCCCCCAACTTTCTTGTGAGGGGATAATTAAATATTTTTAAAAACTATACATATGAATATGCATTGTCCTATGATACCCAAAGTACACAGAGTTCAGAAATAAAACACAACAAGGAGATGTACAGAATACTTACTTGTTCAAACTTGAATATGTGTTGATTGAAATAATACTGTAGATGTTCATTTGCATAATTAATGCAAAACTGTTCAAAGCTATTTTTGCTAAAATCTTCAAATCCAAAGATATCCAGAACACCTATGGAGTTTCCCTGTGAACAAAACAGATTTAATATGTTATAGATGTACTCTCTTTATAGGAAACAAAGGAACCAACTCAACTTAAGCTCTTAGAATAAAATCATCAATCTAAGTTAAAAACAAGACTCAGAAAAAAAAATCATTTTTTTTATGTTGTAATCATGTGAACAGTTACTCATAAAATCACAGGAGAATTATTCTTAAAATGGTAATACATGTGCCATACACATACTCAATAAGATTCTCAATTAAACATCCAATAGCATATAAAACTACATTTCATCAATAGATATAAAATAGCACAGAAAATCTGCCCCTTAAGTACTAATTATGTTTAATTCCACTAAAATAGAATGCAGTCAATAAAAAAAATCTGGCACAAAATGTCTTCTTTTAAGAATGAAAACTTCAAAACAAAAACCAAGAAATTAATCCAAAATACAAGCATGACAACTAGTTTTTGCTAAGAAATTTTCACTAGAACATGTAGAATGACTATCAATTATGTTTTTGTTTCTATTGACTTTTGGCATTCAGTAACAACAAATATCTATCCTACATTCTTTACTTTTCCAAGGTTTATATGCATGATTTATCCTTGTTTTTCCTCCAAAACCAGCTTCAAATTTGATCATTACACAAAATGAAGTCAGATGACCAATCTCTATATGATATAACAAGTAATGTACTGTAAAATCACATTTTTTCATGGGGTCAAATTTCTTGATTTGAGGGAAAAATATGGTTTTGTTAGGATCTTTTTCGTTGATGAAAAATTGTAGAATAGTATTAAATATGTTTGAAAAAAAAATACATTTTGTAGTTCATGAATCTGTACAATGACAATTCAACTCCTACAAAAATTGGCAAGAAAACAGTATTACAATGTCACCTGATCACATAAACTGGAGGAATCAAACCATTCCAATTAAATACAGGAAATTAAAAACTAGATAGCTGGATCATGGACTAATTTAATCAAACAAAATACTGTTCTACACATTAACTAATTCTATAGTTTATAAATAGATCAATGTGACGCCAGATTGATCTAGTGGGGGTTACAACATCCTAAGCCTACAAGAGTTCTAAATTCAGAAAACAACACAATGCACCTTAACAGCAATGCAATAAATATCTCTATTAACTACACATTAAAAAATTCAATCTCAGATAGTTAAATATCATTCCATGCAAATTTCAGCTGAACATTTCGTCATCTGCTAGTCGATTCTGCTTATCATCATGCAATATTTACAGCATGTCACAGACTCAGAACAAAATACACCGCAGACACTTACCACAGAAAAAACATCCTAAACATAAATAATGACTTATTATAGCTTAAACACTATCAACAAGTCAAACTTTACCATATGAAACAATATAATGGAACCCGTAACTCTTCCCAATGATATAAAATAAGCACTTTATATTATCCTTCAAAATATGATAAAGACATAACCATGCTCTCGACCTTTTACAAACCACTGCATGATAAACAATTTGTATAATTCTTCATTTCTACAACTCCAATAACAATAAACACTTCATCTATAAGTAGCCAATCTGCTCTATACAAAATAATATTGGAATTGTTATGCATTATTACTATTATGTTTAGATGACTCATACTTCATTACATAAATACTGGACACAGAAATGAAATTGTAAATAAAGAATAGCAAGTCAAATAGGGTGATAATTTACCCAAAAAACAAAATTAATTTAATAGATAAGTCATAAGATGCAATGAAAATTAAAATGTCGTCAATAACAACGGTTGATGGAACATTTTCAAATATCAATTTCATAAAGATTCTTCCCCTTTCATAATTTTATGTGTATAAAATGTACCATCTACATCATGTCTCTTAGCTAGCAGGGCTTGGTTCACTGTAGGGGAATTGTTGGAAAGGGGGGGGGTAGATTGGGGGGTGGGGGTGGTATTTTACCAGATGATCACTGCTGTGTCTTTTGCCTAGTAGAGTTTGCTTCACTTTGTGTGTGTGTGTGGGGGGGGATTGGATATGGGGGGGGGGGGTTTACCTGATGATCACTGTTGTGTCTCTTAGCTAGTAAAGCTTGGTTCACTTTCAGAACAATCCAATCAAATAGTGCTCCATACAAACATTTCGCCATGGCATCACGAGTGGCAATGGCCTAAAACAAGATAGAGAAGAATAGACTCATTTCCCAGGCAACTATTCTTTGAAAATATTTACATATTTAGTATCATGATTGACAAGGGAAAACATGACTAAAATAACTCAATAGAAAGAACTGCAAAAACACAAAATAAAATTTAATTAATTAAAACTAAGTTATGCAGAAATTCCTAATAAGGAAATCTCAGTTATAAGGAATACTTTTTAAAAGTTCGATAGAAAACTTTTCTTCACTATATTCTAAATATTGCTAAAAGGAATCTTGGTTTATTAAGAAGCAAAGTGTAAATTGTACTGTAATTAATTCCAATTCAGTAGGGCTGGGTATTGGCCCGAGATTTCGAATTGCGATATATTGCGATATTTTCAACTGTATTGCGATATGTATCCCAATATTTTCAATGTAATTAAAATGGCATTTTCTTACTATATTTAAATGCAGAATGAACATAACTATGATAAGTTACCAACACGGAAAAAAATTTTGTTGATTTTATTTAAGTTATGCTCTGAAATACTCTCAGAAAAACAACTTCTATCTTACTGTTTGGCTTAGTAACAAACCTTTCATAAGTACATATTTATATTTAATGATAAAATTCCTTAATCTAAGCATATTGCCAATATATCAATATTACAAAATCGTATTGCAATACAATACTTTTTGTCATTGTATTGCAATATATTGAAATATCGATATTTTTGCCCAGCCCTACAATTCAGCTTGTTACTGACAGTACATAGTTATGTGTCAAGTTATGTGTCATTGTGGTAGAAGCTTACGTCGTGCATTCTGTAGTTCATGACTACGGTCTCGTCCCCAGCAGTGGCTCGCTTCTGTGTTAGGGCCTCCACTAGTGTCTTCTCTTTTACCTTAAAAGGATAAATAAACCATAAACCTTTTGATTTTATTATATAAAAAGCATGCTCCGCAAAAAAGGTGTAAATTGCATCAATTATTTGAGACTAATAGCTCTGAAAAAAGAATACCACCTTATTACCTAGAAAGTAAACTATAGTCTCACCTTCAGAATACTTGATACGGTTTGTACAACATCCAGATTTTTTATGGTAACACTTTCATCATGATGCTGGTCCCCTTTCTAAAATAGAAAAAATATTTTTGGATTTAATGTACATTAACTTCTTTAAACATAGTAATTCTTTAGTAAAATTTCAATTTCAAAAATAATAGCATTTGCTAGGGCTATTTCTTTCTGAAAATTTTCCTCCACTTTTGTGAATATATATAAGTGATTGCCTTTCAGCAGAAACAAGTGACTTTACAACACTCAACATTTAATGCCATCAATTAATGACAATGTCAAGAACCCTAAGATAATGTTAAAAACCAGATATATAATGTGCAAGTCATAATTTTTAATAATAATTCTCAATAATAAAATACCATATCATATGATACTGACTTGTGATTATCAAACTTGAAATTTAGATCACCTGGCGTCTTCTGACGTAAAACTGTTTTAAAAATAATTCCAGACAAGAAAATTACAATTCTGTATGTCTCATGTAAATTAATTGTATAACAAGAGGCCCATGGGCCTTATAGGTCACCTGAGCATTATGCAACAACTTTCCAGTGATTGAATTTGATTCATGTTTTAATCCAGATGCTATGGCATTCACAATTTTGAAATAGGCACCATTGATCATCATAACAATACACTTAGCAGTTGCTTAGTTTGTTTACTAATACCCATAGGCAGGGTAGGGGAACAAAAACTGCATTTCAAGTAATCAGTAATATTCAGCATGATCAGTAATGCCCCAATCACACATGAACCCCTGACCCTTAGGCCTAGATCCACACATTGCACAATTTTTGAAAAGGCACCCTTGCTTTTCAAAAATATAAATACCAAGGAGCAGATTTCAAACAATTCATCCAGTTTCAGTATATAAGTACAGCCCCCCCCCCCCTCCTTTATGGTACCCTTGACCCTTGGGCCTTGAAATTCACAATTCTGGAAGATTAGGACCCTTACTCATCATAACTACATAGGTAGTTCATCTGCTTAATACCAAGGAGCAGAGAAGAAAACTTTCAAAGATTTAGTGTATTTTCATTGTATAATTAATAAAGCCCCACCCTATCACTAGAATCCCTGACCCTGGGGCCATAAAATTCACAATTTTGGAAGAGGCACTCTTGCTCATCATAACTATGCACTTATTTAGTTTATTTAATACCCAGACACAGAGAAGAATATTTTCAAAGAATTCGTGTATTTTCACTATATAATCTAAAGAGCCCCCCCCCCCCCCCTACACCAGAACCCCTGACCCTGGGGCCATCGAATTCACAATTTTGGTAGAAGCACTTTTGCTCATCATAACAAAGCACTTAGTTAGTTAATTCAATACCCAGGAGCAGAGAAGAAGATTTTCAAAGAATTCAAGTATTTTCACTATATAATCTATAGAGCCCCCCCCCCTTTACACCAGAACCCCTGATCCTGGGGCCATGAAATTAACAATTTTGGTAGAGGCACTCTTGCTCATCATAACTATGCACTTATTTAGTTTATTTAATACCCAGGAGCAGAGAAGATTTTCAAAGAAATAATGCATTTTCACTTTATAATCTATAGAGCCCCCCCCCCCCTTACACCAGAACCCCTGACCCTGGGGCCATAAAATTCACAATTTTGGTAGAGGCACTCTTGCTCATCATAACTATGCACTTAGTTAGTTTACTTGATACCCAGGAGCAGAGAAGAAGATTTTCAAAGAATTTATGTATTTTCACTATATAATCTATAGAGCCCCACCCTAACACCAGAACCCCTGACCCTGGGGCCATAAAATTCACAATTTTGGTAGAGGCACTCTTGCTCATCATAACTATGCACTTAGTTAGTTTATTTAATACCCAGGAGCAGAGAAGAAGATTTTCAAAGAATTCATGAAATTTCACTATATACTTATTTAGCCCCACCCTAACACCAGAACCCCTGACCCCGGGGCCATGAATTTCATAATTTTGGTAGAGGACTCAATGCTGATTACAATCATGCAAACAGTTTGACTGCTTGATGTCCAGGAGTAAAGAAGAAGATTTTTAAAGATTGCACTAATTTTAGTGGTTTTTGCCCCACCCCCCAGGCCCCAGGGGGGCAGGGCCCATGAAATTCACAATTTTTGTTCCCCTTCACCCATAGATGCTATATGCCAAATTTGGTTGAAATTGGTTCAGTGGTTTCAGAGAAGAAGCTGAAAATGTTCAAATGTTAACGCACGACGCACGACGAACGACGACGGACGAAAAGTGATAGCAATAGGTCACCTGAGTTTACTCAGGTGACCTAAAAAGTCATTTTCTACATGGATAGAAATTCACTTGTGCACTTTAAAATTTGTATATAAATATTTTTTACACATATTTTCGTCTGATTCATGTGCAGTTGAGTTAACATGAAATTCAGACCATTTTGTAAAATCCTGATATCATACACAAGCCTTTCATAAGATTCTTGTTCTAGGTACTTTTCCCTGGCTGAAATTGTGATAGTACATGTACCAAAAAAAAAAAAATTATTGGTGAAAAATTTAAAAAAAATATTTTTAATTAAAATTGCTTCCACAATATATCTCCCATTTTTGTTAAAGCACCACCTATTTTAATCCTTTTGAAAACTCTGCAAAGTACATGTACATGTGTACAATGAACTAGTATTAAAAATTTTGAATGTCATTTGTTTTGAAATAAGCTATATCATGTTCTATAATATAGTATAATAAAATCCTGAGGAAAAGATATGCATGGAAAATGTTTACTTTACAGTGAAACATTTTCCGCTAAATATTTAGTAGATAGTAAACTCTTCAGGGAGTGGTTTACTATTTAGTATTTATCAACTGTGTAGTAATCATTCCCAGGGAATGTCTACAAGGGGGAAAGACTCTTTACTAGCAGAACACAAACATGTTTTTTTAATCTAATGACAAGCATTCCTAAATGCTTTAACATCAGACAGTTCTTTTTATGACTTACTTTTTTGAACTCCACATTTCCCAATAGCAACACTGCAGACATGACAGAAAATATCCTGAAAGAACAAAATTATCTCATGTTCATCGAAAGATATGTATAGGCAAGATTTTGGTATTAGAAAACACATGGCAAGCCTCTTACCTACTTTATTCTATATAAAAAAAAATTGGGTGTTAAAATTCCTTTGGACCTTTCTGTGTGCAATATTCCATTATTTCTATAACATATACAGTTAAACCTCATTTTCTCAATGGTACATTTTTTTTTGCTGAGAAATCAGAGGATTCGAGATATCCAGGGTACAATACTTAAAGAATAAGTGATTGGGATTTCCAAATTACTTTGCCATATCATGATACTCAAAATATCAGTATTTGAGAAACCAAAGTTCAACTGCAGATGTATTACAGAAGGCTATATAGAGACCTTTTCTGTGTGATGACGGAGAAGCCCACCATTTCCATGGACTGTTTGAGACGAGCGAATTCGTGAACTTCATCCTCCCCCTCCAATGTATAACAGCCACTCTGTCAAAATACAAACAGCACTGATTACATTAATGGAAACAAAACAAAAGCTACCAAACCACCTAAGAATGTAATATCAATAAACTTCACAGTGTTTGCACAGTTTTTAAGTTAAATTCTCTAACATATTTTGAAAATTGATATTCCCATCATTTCCCCTTCTATTTTTTGTCTGTATTTGAGATCTAAGGCAAAATGAGCACACACCCAACAGTAAATACCAATTCTAGTTTGAGAATCTGTGTTACCTGTCTGAGATAATGGTATTCTTCTGGTTTACACAGGTGTAGAGCTTCTTTCTCCTGATCATCAGCCCCAGCCAATAGATAATAAAAGACATGGTAATTCCTAAAAAATGATAAAATAAAGTCACAAGTTTCAGAAAACATGCCAAACTGTCTAGAATTTTCAAGGCTAGAACAAGATGGCATGTGCTTGTAACCTTCTTCCTTACAAACCAAGCAATAGTTTGAATCACAGAAATCAGGAATAAGATACTTGCCCATGCCATTGGTATTCAAATCACAGTTAAAGCTACAGTCCAGTTTAATGCTTGCTCCAATATCAGATTAAGTTTAGGAATGAACTTCAATAACAACTTATAATTTTGTGACTTTTTTATTATTAAAAGAATCGTGAAATTTTCAATTCTTGTCTTACACATATAGTCCTGGAATATTACCTTTCATTTTTGGCTTGTGAAACAATCCTGGATTTCTCAAGTAAATACTTCTCCACAATTGCACTGAAAATATTATAGGAGGGTAATCAAAATGTGATTGAAATACATAAGGCTACCTAAAATTGAAATTCTGGTTCTCAGGCCCGCGCGCATCCATTTTGAGGTAGCCGCATTGCTAATTTTATTGTATTTTTGATAAAATAAAAAGTTGGTATTGCGGAGATTAATCCAGAAAAAAAGTTCCGTCCTCATTTTTTCGTAGTTTAGTACTCAAATATCACTTCCAGTAGCCATTTGCAAAGAGATTTTGACTACTTCGTTTGAGAATACTTTCAAAGACATTGCCTACGATGTTCACACGCTGATAAGCAATGGATAAAGCAAACCCTTTGAACAGAAATGCAAAGTATATCTGTGAATAAAAAAAATTATCTTTATTTTCAAGAAAATTCGAAAATTCAACTTAAAAAAATACCTCCCTCATCTACTTTATTGCCAATAAAATGATAAATAAAATGCCGCCCTCCCGCATCTGTTTTGGAGAAAATTGGCCTGAGAACCAGAGAATTAAATTTAGATAGCCTAAAGGTGACATTTTTTAATAAGACAAAAACTATAAAATTTCAATTCTTTTACCGGTAATTATTTAAGTGCATGTGCACATCATATGATGACAACATTCAAAAGCATAGATAATCAATTTGCATTTTAAATTAGACCAAAAGAAAAACAAAGTCAAGCCCAGTGACATAACTAAGACAGTAGGAGTCCTAATTGTTTGTCTTTCCTACTGCTCTACATTTGGTCTTAATGAGAATGTCACCAGGCAAATGTGACAATGTGTTTACCATGCCTTGTACTGACTTCCTGATGTTTACCTACTCCATGTTAAGATGCCATTCAACAGAATCAGGAGGGCAATTATTATCAAATGAAGAGATAACTAAAAATGATTTAGTTCTGAATGTAATAATTTAAGAATATTTACAGTAAGCATCACATACTCAAACTATGTTAAAAAAAAAAAAGTCAGTGTAAGTGCCAATAAAGGTATAATGTTTTTTGACATACAATGAAAATGTCCACCCAGTGATTTTATTTTGTTCAGATGAAATATCTTGTAAATGAATAGTTTCTCTGGAAATGAGATAGATCTCAATTAAAGAATAGTGAAGTCAAGGTCAAAAAGGAAGGTCATGGTCCCAAAAAGTGATGTAGTTGAATAACTCTCACTTACTATGTGTCAGGGCATACGAAGTGTAATAAAAATATCCATACTTTCTCTAAAACTAAGCTGAATGCAAAGATTGATGGATGGCATGATGGGAAGAAAGAATGACAGATAAATGGGACGACAGGAGACAGACTGACAAATACTATCAACCTTGGCTATATATATTTAATGGAAGGCATCAAACACTTACCCATGTACCATTCCATTTTCCTTGTAATTGACTTGGATAAATTTTCCAAACCTACTGGAATTGTTATTATGGACAGTTTTGGCATTCCCAAAGGCCTGAAAAGACAAAATATCATATCTTAAACAATTCTATTTTTAATTCTAATTGTTTCATTGTATAACATTATAACAAGTGTTTATTTCTGTATAATGTGTCATAAACTTTAAAAATAATTTACATGTGTCATAAGCTTTAACAAATAACTTACATCTCCTAAAGTAAACACGTAAAGTACAAAAAAGTACAAAATAATCACGATAATGATAATGGAGTAATGTAGTAGTCTTATGAAACTAACTCAAAACTGTAATTGTGACTTCTTAACAAACTGTATTAGGAATTGTAATGTACCTGTTATACCCAAATTTCTCATCCTTAATGAAAGATTATCTTTCCTTTAAATTTTTCAATTTATATTGTATATAATTATGTACATGTACTTCTTGATCATATTGTACAAGACTATTAATCAACATGATCAATAGACTGCAATATTTTAGGTTAATTTTAATATAGTGTTTTACATGTATTCAAAAACTGGCCTATTAATAAAGATGCTGTTTCGTTACATCTAGACCAACTTGCTGAGACACAATTAAGTTTCAATGTAAGCCATTGTAAGGCATATACCCACATGTAAACAGGAAGCTGACAAAGTGACCGTTACACTGACACTGGACAGAAGAATGACCACTAGACCACAGGCATCTCTCCAGATACTCAACAGGTCACACAGATCAGCATCACTACACTCCTCCCTCTCTGTGTATAATTTATCTTCACAATCAAACATCTTCACATTTTAAACATGCCTCTATCGTAAACATTCATCTTGATATGGATGCTGAATTCTCTTCCAACAACTTGTCAGAAACTTAATTGAATCCATCTATTTTTCATCACAAATATATCAGTGCAAAAATCTTGCCTGCAATATATCACATACTTCAAGAATGTAAAAGCTTCCAAAACTTCATTCATTATAGAAAAAAAAATAATCCAGGAAATCACACTGAATATTTACAAAGATATTTCATATTGTGACTGACCCGAATGCAACAGCTACATAATGTAAAATCAGAAGGCAGAGAAACTGAATCAATGTTCACAAAAATGAAACATGTCCCCTCATCATCATCAAAATGGCAAACTGCAGCCCCAGGGACACGATAAAGGTCGACTAGGGTCAATCTAACACTTGCTGAAGTGTTAAATGACAGCAATACACAACACAAAGGCTATTTTATAACACCTTATAAACTGCAGGGCAGGACTGCCCTAGGGTATGATGGGTCATTCACAAGGTGCAGGCCAAGATTTATATCAAAATGCCACTGACCTTTTCAAAATTTCATTCAGGACAGGGTTAAATTCTTGGAATTCCCCAGGTTACAGTTTACATTTGTTAAATGATGTACTGCATCTTATGATCTATAGGAGCAAACTTGACCATATAACATGCCATTTTAGGGTAACACACAAGACCAAACCATTTAGTTTACCCAGTAACATCTGAGAGATCACTATGCCAATTCAAATCACTCTTATAATGGACAAATGGTGAGATACCAGCTAGTTCAAGTCATACCATTCTCTACTTTTCAAATTCATTTCTTAAGAAAACAGCTTTCATAATAAATACTGTAAGATGTGATATATCATAGCCTGGTAGTTCATTTAAAAAGTGAAAAAAGGGATTTAGCAATGTTCAGTGTAAATACTATCATAAACCAGTAGTTATGTTTACAAAATCTTATGCTTCTTTTGAATGGTTTTGACTATGAAGTAAACTGATTAAAACTTCAAAGTAAGTAATCGCTTTCATCTTAATCAACATTGCACTCAATAACACACAAGTATGAGGAAGCCCAATAAAAGAGAAAATACTACAATTTCCACTCCAAAGCTCAGTCTAGTCTGACTGTCTCAGAAACTAAGTGACAAGTCTTAAATATTAATCATACAAAAAATACACACATATATTGACTACTTATTGTAAACTGGTTACATGGTTATGTCAGACTAGTGTTTTTGTTGTAACAAAGCATAAGACATGATAAACACATTACATGTTGACTGTGGGCTACGATTTGTCACCTATAGACCAGCAAGTTGTAAGACAGGGACTTTTTTCAACCCTGAGTGGTTTGATTGTTTTCCTATGTATTTCCTCAATGTTATACAAATATCAAACAAGCAAGCCTACTTCCTTGATCGGACTTTTACTGATCAATATCTATATTAGCTTTTAAAATTTTCTTGAAAACTGCCTTTTTTAAAGCAAGACTAGTACATGAAGTAAATATTTGGCTTTAAAAATTTTGATCAGGCCAACATGCTTTACACCTGACCTTGTACATGACAAAAACAAAAGAAAGGTGTTTATCACATGCATTGCATACCGGTAACTAACTTCATGAACTTTTAATTAATTACAATGATTAAGACTTATTCATCTCTCCTGACTGACTAGATGTTCTACACCTCATATAATCTGAAGTCATTAAAATAGTTCCAGGATGGAACATAATATTATGGAAAATAATGCTGAAATACTTTTTTTATATCACCAAAAAAGTACTCTTATATCAAAGTTTTATATTAAAGTTTTAAGTAAGTTTACTTACAACAATTAAGCTAGGAGATTACAAATAGGATGTTTGATTTTTTTCTTCCCTAATCCTGCATTAAAAATATCATGTGCTCGATTAAGTTTCAAAAAAAAAAAATCCTACTTTCCTCTACACAACACTTTTTTATGTTTTGTGGAAGATGGGGTGGTAAAAAAAAGAGAAATAGACCCTGAGGACCAGAAATAAGGGAGTGGGATGAGAGAGGTTAAAACATATAAAACCAAACAATAGGTTATAAAATGCATTTACACAAAATAATAATCATACAATTGCCAATTCAACAATAAAAAATCTCTTTCAACAAAACTAGGCCTTCATCAATGTAACCTCCACAATGGAGATTGATCCCAACAGATGAGTAATGGGGGTAGTAATAAGCCCTGAAGTCTCCAGGAATGTTTATGTAGCAGGGTCATTTTTCACAGTGATTTATATCAGGCTAGTTTTATGGGCCTGTGTGGGTGGCTCCAATAATAAGCCTCAGCAGCCCTCTATCTCCGTAGCAGAAATTAACTCTGTAGAATTATTTATTTTAGCTTGTATATATTCAACAAAAATTGTAGTTTCACCACTAAGGACACTTGCATGAGAAAAAGTAAAAGTTGTTGCCATTCTAGTATTGAATCAATGACTGAAGTGAAATCTGACTATGGAGGTGTACTTTAATCTGATCACTTTTGATAACGTTAATGGGGGAAATTCAAGGCTGGTTTATTAGGGGTAACTTACACCACAGGTATCAATGGATGGGCTTTATCATGCTCAATTAAAAGTGACAGTATTTACCTAGCCATTGTCAACCTCATGAATAGAACCTTAGATCAGACAGACTGATTTCTAAATATTGAATAGGACCAGTTGACCTTTTAATCTCCCATTGTGTATTCCTTTAGTCTGTTGCATGCAAAGACACCCAAGTTTTAAGAATTTTGGTCCACATTTCAGATTAATTTCAAATCTACTACTTCAAAAAAGTTCTTCGCTCTTTTTCTCATACTTTCTCTCTTCATGAATTCATTACTTAACTGCTTTTTTTTGCTCCAATAAAAGGCCCAAAGTGATTAGAAAACATATGAGAATAGTGGGTGATTATTAATATTATATCTACTATTTATATTTAGATTAACATGTGACATAAAATGTATTGAATTGAATGTTAATGCAAATTCAACATTGTTGGATGGTGACTAGAGCAAATGAATCCACTTTTGGTGGAAGTCATTGGTATAAAAGTTCCTTTCTCTATGAACACTCTTTGGGTGAAGCAGATAAGGCCACTATGGAAAAACAATGTGGATAAAAAAAAGAGCTTTGCTCTAAGTTATAACCTTAACCATTAACTAGAGACTTGCCTTAAGAACACAGCACACCCATGGACATTCTTAGGTTTTAAGTTTGAGACAGGTGGGGATAATGGGAAAAGAAAATACACTTTGCACAAATATTTTATAGTAAGAGATTTTCTGACCTTGACCTTTCATCTAGAAAATTGATTCAAGGTCATGCATACCCTCTACCTATAGGCACTTTATGGGTGAAGTATGAGATAGACTATGCCTAGGAGAGAGAAAATATGATTTTACACAGAAATATTTCTTACCATGACCTTTTATGACCTACAAATCTAGTTTAAAGTCACTGCACAACCTCTATCTACATGTACTCAGGTAAAATTTAAGTTTGACTGGGTTAGGGGAAATGTAATGCTCCAGACAAGGATTCTAGTCCACACATGGCAAACAGATATTTTCTGACTTCGACTTTTGATCCATAAAATTGATTTAGGGTCATTGCATACCTTTTACCCCTGGGTACTCCAGAGGTTTAATTTTAAAACACTCCTGCATTTAATTTCTATGAATTGTTATTATAGCATGTTCAATCTTTATACTTTGCTGTTTATGTATGTCAGGAATGTAGAAGCTTAGAAAGGTAAGGCATCACATGTATTTATATTAGGCAAGTTGTTCACCTGAGAATTTCACGCTGTTTTGGGGTCATTGCCACATTGGATGATGGTTACTGCAGTAAAAGTCAGTTAATTCCCATTTTTTTAGTGTTTCTGTCAACTCAATGAAAAAAATATGCACATGTATGCAATAATATAATAATAATAACATACTATTTAAAAAATTTCCCCCAGTTAAATTGATATCTCAATCATTTCCATTTGATGGAAAAATTGTTATTAACAAAATAGCAAACTTAGTTGAGAGTGGGTACATTCAATACCTTTAGGTTTATAATCTGTAAACACATCGTCAAGTGTCATATACAATCTACCATGTCTACTGTGTATATCAGAGACTAGATCTACCAGGATGCTTTATCCATTCATCTAACACAGTTAAAGCATATGTATGTTTAAGTGTATTTTTATATACAGTACAAGTATTTTTTAACGGCACTAGTTTTCTATTGAATTCATTCAAATCAATGTTTGAAACATTACACTGCAAAAACTGGCCTCTACCTCAACAAACTTGCATGTATATACAGATAGAATCAATTTCTATAATCATGCTTTTGTGTTCTTTGAAATGAGAACAAAGCCTATAGAAATTAATACATAAATTCATATCCATTCAAAATGTTACAGACACATCTGCACACAGCTGCCATGCCTGTAGAGGGAGTGAGAGACACAGAGAGAGCTCTGATGTTGTCACTATATCTTAATTAAGACATTCCTTAGTCCCCATGTTCACTTAGATCCTTCAAACTCCTCAAGATTGACAGCATTTTATCTTTTCAACATGGTAAGCAAAATGCATTCCCCACATAACGCACAAATAAATCACCTTTCACTTGTAAATTTATCTGTGTTTTTCATCCTAATAATATCAGCATTTCCAGTTTAGCTGCTGCAAAGCTCAGATAAAATGGTATTGAATTCTCTGTGGGGATATGTACATTCAAAACCTTGAAGGCTTACGATAAGATTCTTATATCATCCCTCACATTCTGCCAAAATCATAATGCAGTCTTCAGTTACACAAATATGCATTCATAGATTTACTGCAGTATAAAAAGGCATCATTCATTTATCATTAACTTACATCATGTACATATGAAACCCGCAGGTATTTATTGGATTCAAGTTCATCAAAAAAATAATCTTTTTTCAATGACCATGATGTCACACTGTCTGTGAATAGTACTGGTAATAGGATGTTCTTTATGATTACCCTTCACTAAATGATTGTTTGCATGTAGGAGTCCTTCATATTGGTACATGCTTTATTGTCGACTACAAATTAATTATCATACTATCTTTTCATGGAGTAGAACTTGCATTAGATGAAAGTTTATGATAATATTTGCATAGTTATATCTGGACCCTTATATCTCACTCTGGGTTTTGTTCTACAACAGGCGAAACATTTATACTACATGTAATTGCATTTAAAAAAGTTCAATCTCATTTTGCTGACGAGAGAAAACTGAAGCCTTGCGTTCTAGTGAGACATGGTAATGACTAAAATGTAACTGTATAAGTCTGAGGTGATTTTCCCTGTGGCTGACGGTGACTCAAGAGTGTATCCTTCCTAACAACGACAATGTTTATCTCCTGTCCTTCTCCAGCAGGAAATATCAGGCTAAATTTAAAAACAGCACACATCATCGTCTCAATGTTAGCATTACTTATGTACATGTACACTGTGTAGATTTACCCCTTACCTGCAATATTGCCATGGAATATTGGCATACTTTACATTTACAATTGGTAGATTCTACCCCTTTTAATACATGTACTTTGACATAATTTACACGTACACTGTGTTTTTTATCCCTGTTAATGTCAGAATACTTTATATACATGTACTGTTTAGATTTACCCTTTTGAAAGTTGGCAAACTTTACAAGAACACTGCGTATATTTACTGCTGATGCAGCACAAGAAATAAATGGATTGGACATAGATCAACTCATTAGAAAATCACTCCCTTTTTTGTATATTTGTACATGTATATTAACGATAAATCATGTTTCAGCAAATAAGTAAGTTTCTTATAACATCAAACCTGATCCTTCATCATGTTCATCCTTACCTCTAACACAGGTCCCGCTCCCAAAATTGTTTGTTCCACCCCACTGCCATGTGAACCTTTCTGACTCAGTGCAGTAAGATGATGCAGAAGAAGGTTTGTGCTCTCTGTTTTCCCGGACCCTGATTCTCCTGAAATCACAATACACTGATTTTTCTTTTTACGGAGCATAGTATAAAAGGCAGCATCTGCAATTGCAAAGATATGAGGGGGTAGCTCCCCTAGTCTTCTGTTCTGGTACATTTTCACATATTTGGGATTGTAAATGGGAAAAAATTTAAAAGGGTTCACTGCTATAAGAATTGATCCTACATATGTGTAAATATGTGCATGTTCAAAACGGTTTTTGATGTTTTCCAACAGTGTCATCTCATTTAAATCTGGCAGGTTGCACAAATCGGGATATTCCTTATTATTGGTAGGCTGTTTGAGGAATGTCATAAGAAAAGAATCCACACGACTCGAATCAGTAGATATTTCTCGCCAAGATGAGGTTCGATTTATGCTTTCATGATCTTTTTTCCTAAGGAAAAATTTATATGCAGGAACATTACTCCCAGCCATTTTGGGCCACAGTAACTTTATTCGCACTGGATTTTCCGTGGGCTCTAGCCGCCTCTCCTTACAGAGTTGTCCCCCTGAGGAGAGAACCTCAGCAAGTTCATATTTTTCTGGATTTCCAAGCTGTAGTTTTTTCACAGCTACTTTAACAATTTCCGATGCAGTTGTACATTTTTCAGCCTCTATGGATGTAAAATCACACTCCGTTATCAAAGGATCCGGATAAATACGCACCATGTATGTTTCCATACTTGTCCTCCGCACCAAGCCGACACGGTTTGATGTGACCACTGATGGAGAGGGTAGGGCAAGAGTCTTGCCATCCATAGTGGAACACTGTTCACCAACAAGACTCATTTAAATTTAATTCCTTTTTTGAAGTGTGTAAACATTCCTGTTCCCCTCACAAGTCCTGTAGCAGCCATTTCATGGTTCCTTTTATTGAGAATTTAATGTCCAAGGGTTTATATGTTTGTAAGGTTCCATGTCAAATTCTGAAATTATACAGAGAAAGTATTATTTCAATTTCAACCTTTCAATTTAATGATCAACTGTCACACCTTTCTGTTACTAAACTCATGGGTATGCTGTGTCTCAAAGCAGCGCGACACAATGGTTTAAAAAGTGAGGAACATGCTCTAACCTAGTATAAGGAAGGGCCAGCTCTCCTACATGTTTTAAACACAGATTATAGATTAGATCTATAAGAAGATTACCACTGTTTCTTTTTCTGTCAGTCATTTACATACCACATAATTAATGAGCTTGTTAAGTCATCTGCAGTTTTTCAATGATTTACAATGCTGCATTGCTAGCATTTAAATATTCCTAATGTACATCATATATCATTCAAGATTAGCTGAAGTCTAAATGGGACCAAACTATCTATCTTTTGTTGATTCTGTTCATTAAAGTACAATACATTATACAGATGTAAACAAATGTTTGAAGGATTCAGATAAAGGCATCATTCACAAAGAGACAAGGGTAAATAAACAACCAGAATCCATAACTTCTTTTGTCACCAATGATCCTGATAGACAGTTTATTTCGTGTACACTTTTACTTATATTAAAATTAGAAAAAGAATTCATTTAAAAATGGTCTAAACAGGCTCCCTCATGGGGAACACCTACACATCATGACATGCTACATCCAGTACTGTCAGAGCACCATGAATTAATTGTCTGACTTCACTAGTAATATGACCTGGCATTTCAGCATGTAACAATTTACACACACAAGCCTCTATCTAGTTACATTCCACGTCAGGTGAATTTAGGATGACAAAGTTTAATCAGCACATTCCCTCACGACATCTCTCACTTTTGCCTGTTCTAGTCTCTGACTCTGACCACAAAGACAGGGAATTCCATGTTCTGTTGGTCTGTTACAGACAGCTCTTATTATCGTCATGACCCTGAGCTCCCAGATAGACAGCAATTAAACCTACATCAGCCAGATATCAACAAAACTAATCTACAAGATACATTTTAGTTTTCCGCAAATATGTCTTAGGTGGAGATAACTGCAACTCAGTGGTTCCAACACCGCACAGAATACAACTACTGAGAATTCAACTAGAATATTTACTGAATTGTAATTCTCAAACTTAATAGAAGACAGAGTAAAAATATACGATTCCACCTTCCTTTCCAATAAAGTTTGATCTATCAACAGATATATGTTACATCATGTCTGACGATAACTTTTGACAATTTTTACTTCAGAATTTATCTTAGTAAAGAAAACTGGTATTCCAATACTAACTTTAAAATTTCTCTCTTATCCAATACATGTACCATCATTTAATTTTTGTTTGACAGACTCTGATTCTGAATCAATTTTTTTAAAGTGGGTAATATCTTTTCTTAATAATCTTCCACATTAATAAATGTAATAAAAAACAAAGAGTTTACATTAAACATCATTCAACATAGATTCCTATAACTATTGCCATAAAAACTTTCATTCAAGTAAAAAAATGTTACATTGGTATATAAATGGGTTTTTTTTTTAAATATTACTCTGGTTGTGTTGATCAAGTGTTCATGTTAGCAGTAACATATTAACAACATCAGAAAAATCCACTTCCTGTCTTTACTCCCATACATACACTTTACAATCACTACAATAAATAGGGATGTCCTCAACACTCAACTATATGTACCAATTCAACCTACAACTTTATACAGATACTCTTATAGGCATGAAAGGGGATCCTTCATACAAATACATAGTAAAAACATTTAAAGTAAATGAATGCTTGTGTCCTTACAAATAAATTTTTTGCTTTACCTGCATATCTGACGAACCAATTAAAAATATGAATTCTGACTTAAATTCTCATTTATTAAAGATGTTTTTCATAATGCATTACGATTGTTCAGTATTTTTTTTACCTACGAGGAATCTCTTACCATACAAACAAGTGTACATCCATGTATCTAAACTATGTTTATCTCTGTAAACACATGTCTGTAAAATCCTGGGGGTAATAGATAGTCTATAAATAGCCGTCCAAATTGTCATGGTGTACCTTGTCTGGCTGTATACCCAATGTTTGCAATATGACACAACACGTTTTATAAAACCCACATTTACACAGGCCCTTTCTTAATTACCTTACCCCCGCTAGAATATCAGGTTAAATGAGCCAGATATAACAATATACAATGAACTTATTTAAAATACATAAAGGAAAATTGAAATGTTCAACAATCAATATTTATGAAAGGGGAAAACTTAAACAGTAATATTAAAAATTTGTACCTTTTCCATGAACAAGCAGTCATCATCTTTTAGAAAAAATAATTTCACAGTGTTATCAAATCAAATTCCATAAATATGCAGGTATATACATGTAAATGCACCATCAAATCTCAACTTTTGAACAATAAATAATAAACCCAGTAAAACATTATCCCATGCAACATTGTTTGTCAACACTCTGGTATAAGAATTGTCAGCAATAGAAAAACGGAGCGCAAGCGAATGTTTATTGTAAGAGTAAGAATAATTCATAAGCCAGAGAAAGAGAGATACACCGACAGCAGATCAATAATACAGGAATCTGGCATTGGTCAAACATAGGGGCTACACTCAATTCTCTTGTTACTTGTCAGGTTCAAGTAGACACAATTTATTCCAGCACAGTTTATCTGTTTTTAGGCTTTTGATGCTGATTGGGAGTACTTCAGCAAAACATGTTCCTTCAAAGAAAGATATACATATTTACTAACACAGCACTTAAGTTCGGAGGCCTTGGTGGTTGAACTTGGTTGGAGGGGGGCGCTGGGTTATTAGGATTCTGACATGGGAGGATTAAAGGAGTATTGTTTACAGCAGCTGTCCAGATTTAATAGAAAGTGAATTTACTTACAGCGAGATTGCAATCTCCTCAATATAGACAGAGACCACAGTGGGAAGAGTTTCTCATTTCCTTGTTGATCAGTTAAGACCTACAAGAAAACTGACTCATTTCCCTATGTAACAAACTCAATCCCATAAAAAAATATCTTCCTTAATTACTGTATGCTTTCTTACAAAAAAGAACAATTCAAATGCTTTAAAAAATAACATTTGAGGAAATACTTTTATACAAACCATAAATTGACTTAACTTTACAATTTTTATGATCTATATATATGCTTATAGGGCCTATTTTGGATGAATAATTGAGAAACTAAAAATACCAGTGCATGAAGAGTCTCAATAATTAAGTACTGGTAAAGAATCCAACTTTAATGCTACATATCATTATCTAATCATTTTATATGACAAGCATATTGCAAGGCTCTTTAAAAATACTTTTAATTGGAGGTATGTCTGTATAATTGTATATCGTGTAAATATGTAAATCTAGATCAGAGGTTTTTAATTAATAATAAAACTTCATGTCTATTCTGCACTATATCAGCTGCATGGTTAAAATGTTACTTCACTACAAAACAACACAGTAAGTGTTTAACTAAGTAAACATTAAACTTTATATGGTACTGGTAGGATAAAAACAAATCATTATGTTAATTGATACAAAAGCTATACATGTCATACACATGTAATTATTCATACTTTCAAGTGAAGTCTATTATTTTTTCACTCATTGTGTATTATCCCAGGAACTGGTGAATATCAATACAACAAAAGTCTGGCATATTTAGGATGCTAACTAGAACAGATACAGAAGGGGACTATTGATCTACTGTTAACTCCTGGGGGAGCAATAAGACACCCCTTCTCTTCATCAATCACCCAATGGATGTATAAGTTGGACATTTCCACAATTTCTGGTCTGTATTGACTAGATTAAATGTGACTTCCAAGGTATTAGCAGTCTCTCTTTCTACATGTTACTAATGTAGCTATTGATCAGAAGAAGACTCAGCTAAGGAAGTTTCCTTCCAAAAATAATATTCTATAGAAAATCAAGTTTAAAGGTTTATAAAAGTAAAAAAGTCTTTAAATTAATATTTGAAAAAGATGGAAATATTTTCTTTTAATTTCTAATATATAACCGCAACATAGATAGCAACACGTCAAGCCCATCTCCTTATTCTCAGTGCAATCTGTTTTAATTACACTAGTAAGTCAAAAGTAATTAAAATATCTTAAATTTACAATAATGTTTTTCATACATCACATATTTCAAGCATTTTTATTCCTAGATAAAAAATTTGATCACCCATTGTGACCTGGCCCTATCCCAGGGAGATGTATTCAAACAAAGTTGAATCTTCACTATCTGAGGATGCTTCAGTATGATTAATGATGGCTTTTCTGTTTCTGAGAAAATATCTTTTAACAATTTTAGCCCCTGTAATCAAAGATTCAGAGGCATAGAGTTTTTGCCCTTTAAGCCTCTGTGCTAAAACTTAAAACTTTTGACTGGTACAAGGTATGGCTTTGAAAGTTTCATACTTTACAGGTGTACTTCTTGTGAGAACAACTTCTTTGGTGTACCAACATATTTGACCTCTTGACCTAGCATTTTGCCCCATCTTTGCAAAATTTTGCCAAACTTTAACCATGATCATAATTTTAATATATATTAAGGCCGGTTTACACTATGCATCTTGACACATGCTTCTAAACTCATGCTTCAATTTTGCCTCATGCATCTTCTTATTTACACTATGTGTCTTGATGCATGATACTTTGTAATATATATTCAAATTTCATTTCCAGATTTGTTTTAGCTGAAAAAAATCATTCTTAATTTCATTTTTATGATAATTCTTGGAAGATATAATTTATATTTATTCCAAAACAAAAACTCCTCTATATTATAATAATCAAATAAGCTTTTCTAATTGTAGTTTTAATCAGTATTTTCTGTTTTTGTGCATCTTGGGAAGCTTCTTTTGAAACTATATGAAAAAAATAAGGCTATAGATTCAATATCAACTCTGACCTTTCTTTTCATTGGTCAGTTCCATGCATCTTGAAGCATGGAACAAGTTCTATTCCATCGTTCAAGATGCAACACCCATTAATTTGACACACGGGGCTTTTACACTGTGAATCTTGACACATGCATCCAAGATGCATGTGTCAAGATGCATAGTGTAAACCGGCCTTTAAGGAGTCATTACTACAGCTTTTAAATTTTACAGGTGTATTGATGTTGAAAAGGCTATCCCATGGGTACCAACAATTCGGACTATTTGACCTGCTTTTGAACAACTTGAACCTTAGACATATCTTTTAAACAGATAGTACTAAGGCTTTCATTGTTAATGATGTAAGCATTTATAAAAATGGTGAATATTAAGAATTATCTGGCACTGTTTATTAGTTAAATTGCCACATTTTATATTTTTCCTGTAACATGTACGGGTCTACAGAATACAATACAATGTCTTATACAGATTCCAATCATGTTATTTTCAGAGTTCTTGAAATCTGTCAGTCCTGTCGAAAAAACTGATAAAAACAACCAGGAACCAATTACTTTGTGTTCTGTGTCAGTCCAAATGACGGGTAAGTGTTGACAGAGGAACTTGTGACAATCTGACCAAATTTGAAATACCGTATGAATTCCCTATAACCGACCGATCTTAATCTTTCAAACGCTTTTCTGTATCTTCTAATGGCTTCCTCCATGAACAAAAATGCCAAACTATGATTAGTAAACTAGTTTGTTGATGGCACTAAGGTAAGCCAGGTGAGAAAATTGTACTAGATTAAAAACTTATGAAGAAAATGGACTCCCACGAGAATTAAAAGAAAGTTATTATACAACGATCAAATGTGCAGTGTTTATTGACACAGGGTGCACAACGTATATATTGATAATAAAATTCAAATACAGTTTTCATCTTTTTATTGAAGTTTTTTTTGGACTGAGAGAAATCTGTCTGGACTGACAAACTTCACATGGCAGTCTGTCCAATTGACTGACAGTGAAAAAAAGATTTCAAGAACTCTGTATTTTCAAATCTTTCTCGAGCAAATTAAATCTGCAGTCTGCAGAAAAGTGGCAACAATGCTTCTTTGCTCAGAGTATACATTGAGCTGTAATGTAAGCTCTTTTTTCATTCAATATTTTATTTCAACTGACTTACTGATAACATCTTTGGAGTTCTTGCTACTCATATCTTCAAGGAATATTGTCAATTGGGTAAAACAAAAAAACAATCAGTTTGCAAAATACAACGTTTGAGATGTCGATAACACGTCTATATACTTCATTAGGACATCTCAATAGTTAAGATAACGAGATGTAACACATATTTAATTATTATTTTCCTGTCAACACTTCGGTTCTTGCCATCCATCGCTTTGGAACCCTCCCTGGTGCAAACGTGCTGAAGCAAAGCCGATGCACAGTTTCATACGATCTTGTGCACGTGTTAACATCGTTCTGTTGCTTCAATGAACATAACTGATAAGTTTTCTACTTACAAAACACTGAAATTTGGTGAATATTTACATACCTTCTAAAAAATATTATCTTCCCTGCTCAGATTACTCATTTGACGTGAATAATTTTCGAACATTTGATTGGATGATATCTGCATCAAGAGAAAAACAAAACCAATCTGACAAGGAATTGCAAAAGACGATATTTAAAAGACTGAATATTATTGTTTTATTTTTTTAACCAGTGTGTCTATACTTTGTTAGCAGTAATCAGAAATTTTGATGTAAAAATCTTTTAAAGTAAAGAAAAGCGCCTGCATTTTTTTTCAGATTTGTTAAAAGGATTCCTTAAATGAAGGCCGACTCATAACTGATGTATTATAGATTGGTAAATATAAAGTACATTTTATAAAGGACATAAATGTATTATTTTAAGTATATGCAACAGAAAATGTCGAATATACAATTTTCATAGACAGATCATTGGCGTCGGAACAAATTGAAAAGGGGGAGGGGGGCTAATTGAAAGAGAAAAAAAATTCGAACCTGAAAAAAAAAACTTGACAAGCAAAAAAAAAGTAAAAATAGTTATTGTCTAGATGCGAAAAATCCTATTTCGTGGGTAGGGAAGGGGGTTTCAAATTAACTTCTTTCAATACCATTTTTCCCCAAACCCTAACACTTACCCTTCTCAAGTTGACTACATTGCAACCTGTGCCTCTTGAAAGTTGGGGAGGGGGGCATTGTTCAATGCTAATATTATGTCTATCTTTGCAAAAAAGTGGGGGGGGGACCCCTACCCCCCCGGTTTCGACGCCTATGAAGATAATTCAAAGTTATCCATGTAGGTACATAATCTCATTTATCGGGGGGGGGGGGGGGTTCATATCAGACAAACATGACAGAGGAAATGTAAGAAACGGTTATGTACATGATCTTGACCTATTTTTTTTTTTGTCCCCCGCTTTTGCGAAAACGAGAGGACATTTAAAAATCTCATCCCTCTGTCCGTCTGTCAGTCTCTCAGTCTATCAGCCTGTCATGAAAACTTTAACCTTGGTCATATCTTTTGAATGAAAAGAGATAGGACTTTCATATTACATATGTGTATTACCTGTGACAAGACCTTTCTAAAGGCACTATGATTTTGACCCCGTGACCTTGACCTTTTAACTACTTTACAAAAATTTAAACATTACTTTAAATTGGCCAAAATTTTTGATAGAGTAGAGATAAGGCTTTCATACTAAATATGTGTACTACCTGTGACAAGGTCTTTCAAAATTAATGTATTATGTGACCTTGATCTTGAATGTTGACCTACTTTTCAAAAGCTTTAAACTTGGTCATAACTTTTGGATAAGAAGAGTTAGGGTTTCACAAGTATATAACCTGTGATACGAACTTTCCCAATACACTACGCTTTTTGACACCGTGACCTTTCATAAATGTTATTTTTTCCTTATAACATTTGATAGAAAAGAGATAGGGTTTCCATATTTGACATTCATGTCAATTGTCAAATGACTTTCATGTTTGACCTAATTTAAAAAAAAAAACAAAATTAACTTTGGTGATAACATTTGAATGATATGATAGGAGCGTCCATATGTGACGCAATACATTATGTCATAAATAATGACATTTCACCCACAAAAAACCTAATGGTAGGACCACGATTCTTTTGCATCTGCTTTTTACAAAATAAAGTTAAATCTCGTAGAGGTATACATCGTGCTTTCTTGAACAATTTATCATCTATCCGGGGAAAAAGTTTCTGTCCGTTCATTTTTCAAAACTAAGAAGTTGTAAAAATAAAAATTCAGTAGAAAAAATATCAATGAGTTATTTTTTATTGTAAAATGATTAAATTATATTATTCAACTCAAGAAAAATAGATATATATATTTTTTCTCAGCTACAACAAAATTAAAGTTTATTTGCTGCGGTCCTAACTTGTTGCCAAGGAAAACATCCGTGTAGTTCAGAGGTAGTTGTACAGAGCGAACAAAGATGACAAACGTGAGGACTTACAATCCTTCTGTTCGTGTAGGCAACTGGAATGAAGACATCCAGTTAGAGGAGGTACTGAATTTCTATTTCATTAATAGTTGGCATTATTTTCCCAACTCTTTTAAAGTTTTCCAACAGTTCTCGATCATGGTTATGCGGGAAAAATGCACAATTCTCCATCGTCAACACTCGTGGCTTTTTTTTTTTAATTTATTTTAACCAGGAAAAAAACAGGACTGTTCTGTTGTATATTACAGGTAAATTTTTTTTAAATTTTTCATTGTATGGAGAAATGACACAGATGTTGTATGATAAAAATTTACTTTGTAGGACACATTAAAAGATTTCCTAGAAAAAAGGGAACAAGGACAGCTCCTTTACCAAAAAAGAACAAAATTAGAACAAACTATATTCAATAAGGTAAGACAGTTTTTGCTGCATTTGCATGTAATTTCTGCATTACCCAGAATCATGCCATCACATAAAAACAACTGTACAGTGTTATGTATTTGAATATGAACATAATATTTTCAACTTAAAGATTTCTTTCAATGCAGATTGACCTCAGTATATCAAGAGATGGGTGTGTCCACTTTGGGGATATTGTAAGTTTGCGATGTCCAGGAACAAAAGATCGTACGAAGTATTTTGCCCACAAAGAACCAAGAGACAGCTGTCAGCTTTGTGTGACACCTGCTATCAACAAAATTCTTGAGGCTCAAAAACTTGAAGGACCTTGTCAAGTATCTGCTTCCAAGGACCTCTGTTCCAATCTTAGAAGCTCTTTTGTTATAACAAGGTTAGGGAAAGTGGCAGCACAATGTATTACATTTGAATAGCTTTATATAGTTAATATTTTTCAAAGATAATTACCGGTATATTAGTGCATGCCTTTATTCTAGAATGAAAATTTCAAACTAAAGTATTCCATTTCTGTGTTATTGTTTATTTTGATATACAAGTCCCAGGTATACAAAGATAACTTTATAATTTTACCAGCAGTGAGGAATACATGAATAATTATTTTTCACATTCAGTATTGATGGAAGCAAACAGAAAGGAGAACCACTGAGATACGGAGATTTGTTTTATCTCTGTACACTCGATAAAGAGGGTGGAAATGTAAGTCCAATTTAAGTGAGCGTCTCAGAGAAAACCATGCATTTTAAAAATTCAATATAAAGATACTTATAAGTTAACTATAAATTAAAATTGATCAATTAAATTATGATCACTTAGTGAAAAGTTTCCAGAATCTATTGATAGAAAATATTCAGATTTGTTCACATTTAATTAAGAACAATGATTTTCAAGTGATATCATATTGTTTCCTCACAGCTGTATTTATCAAGCTGCCGCGCCACGCTGGAGAAATCAGCAGCCAGATCTCGGAAACAGGAAGTGACGTTTGTCAGTGAGCCGTCCTTTATGACGGAATGGAGAATTCTTCATTACAATCCACAGATGAGGATGGAGTATGAAGGCATCCCTGTCCCCGTATGTACAACTTCATTTTAGAAATTCATTTGGGAAAGCGGAAACATATAAATCTTATATAAAATTACATGTATGCTTAGATTCACTAATTTAAGATTGATTTAGTTTGAGTTATTTTTTCCCTTTTACAAAATTATTAAAATTTAATTGTCTTATTTTTTCATGAACTATATTTTGAATATTAAGTAAGAGACTTAGATCTGTTTGTTGAAATCTCTACACCTTGCATGCAGCATTAAAGTAGATATAGCTAATAAGCAAGGAACATTTGACTGAAAAATGAATATAAAAATTTCAATTGCTGTATAACTTGAAATATTTTCTTATAATTTTTAGGCCAATGCTATTACCTTAATTAACCACAAATATACAAACAATGATCTAGCAGTGGAGGAGAATTTTGTCATCAGGTAAGTTTATATCAGGTTGTGCAATTTTATGTACACGTTTTAGAGACTAGTTTCACCTAAATTAACATTTATTTATTTATTTTATTTTTAATAACACCATTTCTTCAGAATAATTTTAGTTAATTTAGTGATAGGCAGGTATACCCATGCAGTCTTTGTTATTCTTTAGTATTGAGCTGCTATTTTGATAATTAAGTTTATTTGAATGAGAGGTATTTAAAATACCGGTACGACTAATTGTGACTTTGAGGTTGCTCAGTATACTCACTGAAAATGAAGTCATCATTTCATAGCCATATTTTTAACCCCTCTTCAACCATATTAAGAACTCCCTCCTTTTACATCAAGTATAATACTTAAAGGGGTTCAATATTTTGCTGTTATAATACTGTATCTTAAATCCCTTTTCCCTTGTCACCCCAGTAATGGGGTCAACATCCACAGCCTTTTTAGCTGACCAGTGAAGTGTAATAAGGGTTCAATATAATACAGTTAAAAAATCTTAAATCCTCTTCTTTCAACCAGTCAAAGAATAAAACTCTAAGATTATCATTAAGATCAAATTATTCATTTTGAACCAGGCTTTCCTCTTGACCATTGAAGTTTCATGCTATGGCATGTATATATGAGGGGAGGTTTGATATCTACATTGCAGTCATAACATCTTCACCCTCACCCTGAAGTGTAATAAGGGTTCAATATAATAGTTAAAAATTCTTAAATCCTCTTCTTTCAACCAGTCAAAAAATAATAAAAGCTTAACCATTATTTCTTAGCTATCCTCTTAAAAATTGAAGTCTAATGGGTTTAATATTTTACAGCCATATTGATATATCGAACCACCTATCTTTCTACCCCTCCATCCCCAAAATATAAATACCTGGTACTATAGTAATTGAGGGAGGAGAGCCAATATTTTTCTCTAATTGAGAAATTCAACCTGGGACAAATATATTATAGCCTTAATATTATGAGTCTAGGGTTCAATATTTTATTGGGACACTAACTGTATAAAGGGTTATTTTCACCCCACCTTATTTTCGTCCTTTCATGCTAGCAAACAATTTTGCCCCACTCTCAAAATTCGCCCAGTCACCATTTTACTTAAGAAATTATACTGTATTCTTTGAATTTGCCCCATTTTAAATTTGCCCAACTGAAGTTGAAAGGGACGAATTAATAAAAAATTTAATTCTCGCGTATAGTAGTATTCCTTAAGATTATATAGAGCAATAACCACAATTCGTGAAAATTTTGTCGCTTAAAAGTCTTGTCCCGAAAATAAGGTGTCGCGAAAATTTAGTGATCTACAGTATATCAGAGCCAAAGAGTGAAACAAAGTATTATGTAATATATACTTGAGTAATATTGAACTTGAGGTTCAGTATTTCAGTTTTTACATATTGTGCTACACCACATAAATAATTACTTATATTTTAGTTAGGAGTCTTCTGATTTGTATTGATACACAAATTTTTGCCTCCTTTCAGAACTCCATTTGGAACCCAGGAATATGAAGTATCATGTCACACATATTTAGATTCGCATCGAGCAGAACAAGATGTAAACTACTTTATGATCATGATGGGGGTACCAGGCGATGATGTTTACCCTGTAGTAAGCTAGAGAACTCCCATAACTAAAAATAAACCCCAAAATATACAGCCAGACAGACATCATAATAAACTTAGATATCATTGTCTGAACTTCCAAGGATTTTTTTGTTGCATTTTGCACAATTTTTATATAAAAGCTGCTGTTGTTATATTTTTCAGTTGAATTTCAGCCTAGAATATCTGTTGTATTGAACACAAATTTATTAAAGAAATCAAAATGTATGCATTAAGTTTACAGTATTACAGAAATCAGGTTTCTGAAAATCAAATCCTTTGAATACAGCATTCTTAATTTAAAAATATGCAGAAAACTTTATGAGAGATTGATTTACCTATCTACAGTATAATACTGCATTTGTTTTATATTTTCTATGCAGTAGCTTTCTCACCATTTGTAAATACATGTATAATTGAATAACATTTATAGATGTATACATTGTATATATTTAATAAATTATTTTTTAAAAATGCCATTGAACTTTTAGTTTTACTTAAAAATGTCAAAACCTTTGAGCTATGCCAATATAGATATATAGTTAGTATGACTATTGTTGTTCTATCTTGTCAGTAACAGTATAACACATTCACATAAGAACACACAATAATTCTCTAATATTCATCAAATCAAATTTTCAATCACATATCAACTCCCTTTAAAGAGTCATGATTCATTTTAATAAAGTAACTTAGCAGTTCTTAAAGCTGGAGAAATATCAATGACAGATCCCCCCCAGTGATAATACATGTATGATAATGAAGGGAGCCATTCATATTTTGGTTTTATTCACATATCATCCATCAAACAGACATTGTAGGTTATTTTTTGCTACAAATGTAAAATAAATGACAAGATATTAATAATAAATAACAAAGATAATGCTTCTGATATGCTCAATATTTCAACAAACACATTACACAGTTATTGACTGGGTATGAGGGAAACATATGATTTGTTGGACCTGAAGGTGAAAATGTTGCCCGAGGCCGCAGGCCAAGGGCAACATTTTCACCTTCAGGTCAATGAAATCATATGTTGCCAAATCCCAGTCCATAACTGTTTTGTTATACCCTTCAGTGCTCAGGTTTGATCAATACACTCTATATTATCAATTACTTTATATGGAAAATTATGGCTTAATCAGTAAATATAAAACTATAGCTGAGAAAGAACAAAAATTAATTATATTTTTATTATATCACGAAAACTATTTATCACAAAACATATACATTTGTACTCTTCCCTTCTTCCTTGCTAGAAGCAACAACTCTTACAGCTCTTAACTTCAGCTATTTCCGTGTCGCCGATATTGATCGATGATTAATTACTTGTGACGTTGTGGTCTAACAATTCTTATGTTGGACCGACAGGCCGGTCAACAGTGAAATTGTTAGACCGATGTAATAAACATTTCTTTTGTTGGACTTTTTATTAGTTATAAATATATAGAAAGCTATTTATAAGGGTATAACAAAAACAATTGCTAGCTTCATTGTATAATGTATATACATGTATAATTGGTCTTTAAAAAAATCAAACCGATGTTTCATTTTGCAAAAAATTAGCAGCACCTCTACACACTATATTGGCTTCGAACCTCCCTCATACATTAATACTGACAAATATAACTTTGTTTACACAAAGGAAAATTTTTACAAAGATATGACAAATGCAGCTACAATGTCTTATCATGTGATTGTAAAGCATTTGTTTCAGCAACAGTGAACATTATGTTCTAACTTCAGCAATGATAAACTTGGCAAGCAGTTCAAAAGGCCTTTGGCACAAAACCATTTTAAAAATAATTAAAAACCCTACAAAACAGCCATTATCAGCTGTTTTTACATTTTCTGAGGCTAACTGATGACTGATGTAAAGCAGTAGCGGGACTTTCCTGCTGTGAAGGTAATAATAATGATTGGGACTGAGAACAATCTACACTGGACCTGTTAGATGCAAGATACACACTGGACCTGTAAAAAAAAGAATTAAAATGTATTAGTTATTAAAGAAAGCATTGATGAAAATATAATCAAAGTAGATCTGTTACTGGTACATGGATGTAAGAAATTTGGACTTGATTTGGATGTAATGCCCTCAGGTTTGATTGTGGCTAAGTCAGTAATTACAAAACAATATTTTTTTCCCTTTTACCCATACACATCTGTGTTGTATAAATGAAGTCATTACATGTACATAAGACAGAAACTCAATTAATTTCTTCATAATGGATTGATTGTATATTGTTTAACATCCCATTCAAGAATTTTTCACTCACATAGAGACGTCACTATATACAGGTAAAGGGCTTCAAATTTAGACATATACTGGGCACTAAGGGCCATTGAGCAGTGAGGGTTCTTATCGTGCCAATGCCTACCGTGACACATCATATCAGAAAGACCCTTGACTTTCACTTCTAATGCCGAGCGTTTGGCGAAGGAACAGTCACTACCTATGTTTAGGTATTAGGTTCTGCATAATGGAGATGATGACTATAAATAGGCACAACATTATGTTGGTAGTCGACCTGCATTCAGGGTTATAGTCAATGATTCACATCTGCTTAGCACCACAATAATTTGGGATGAATGCCATTCCTTATCCCTGTGATTTGGCAAGGAATTTTGCAGCTTATCTGAGACATAAGACCAATCCACTTCTTAATAATCATTAAACAAAGACAAAGAGAAGTATTGGGTACCTGTTGTACTTAAGATGACTCCTGACTAAATGGCCTGCTGCTAGGGCCCCCATAAGAGACAGCTCCCCAGCCAACACAGCCCCACAGACAACTCTAGCTAACTGTTTGGCATTGTCTCCTGGATTCTTGGCATTTGGTCCTTGTATTCCAAGCATCTAAAAGGTTATAACATAATTCTTAATAAAGATAAATCAAATTATCAAATTAAAGAAATATCATGAAACCATAACTTGTGTGTGTGTGAAACACTGATATGTTGTTTGCTTGAGATATAGTAATGAAGAGGAAATCACCTACTGAAATGTACTGAATTCTAATAGCCCTAGTACTTAGATTTGCTTACTCTTACACTGTATATTTCAATACTGGTAAAAACAGAGATAATACTGAAAAAAGTTTTGTGAACTGAGAGAAAAACAAGAACAGAGAGTGATTAAAGCACACTGAGGAGCAAACAAAAAATATCAGTTATTTCGCAGGTCAACTGAGGTCAAACCAGGGACTTACTTAAAGTAGACATGTGACTCCTCTTACCTTTAGACAGGACTGTTGTGCTGGTAAGATGGTGCCTCCCCCTACTGTCCCCACCTCTATACAAGGCATAGTACAGCTGATGTACAGATCCTCATTGGTGGGTCCTGTGGCCTCCATAAGGGTTATACAGTTACTACTGGCAACACACTGGGCAGGGTCCTGTAATACATCGGTCATTCAGTCTCCAAATATTACCATCACATTAACCAAGAAGTAAAAAGTTTTTTTTAAAAATACTCATTTATCACATTGCAAATATGTCTCTTTCCCTAAATACATGTAAGATAATGTGCATTTTTATGCCCCTGTAATCAAACATTTGGAGGCACACTGGTGGTATATATATGGTCTCTTTGTCTGTTCTTCATTCTGTTTGTCTGTAGAAACTTTAACCTTTCCCATAACTTTTGACAATTGGTGCTAAGGGCAGTAAGGCTTTCACATTTAACAGGTGAATTCCTTGAAACAAGACTTTCCTTCGAGTACCAACATATTTGAGCTCATGACCTTGAAGTTTGACCTTCTTTTGCAAAGTGTAACCAAACTCTAACCTTGACTGTAACTTCTAAGTGGTTGATGTAAGAGCTTTTTTTCAAGTAATTATGTATTCTATGCAATCAGACCTTTCTTTCAATACCATATTAGTTTTGATCTCTTGTCACTGACCCTTGAGTTTGACCTACATTTGAAATCTTTAACCTTGGCCTTGAGTTGCCATAATCAGTGTTTCACAACCATATCTTATTTTCTACTGACTATGATCATGACAAGGTTTCCTAATTTACACTTATATTGCATTATCATATCTTTAGAAATGAAGTGCACAAAGTGTACCTGCTTTAAATAATAAATAGTAATTAAAAAAGTACAAATATACATCCACACAAGACATATTTAATCAAATCCAGTTTAAAATCTGTACCTGTCCAGTGGCTATAAATATTGCTGACACAACATTGGCAGCATGGGCATTGAATCCTCCTACACTTCCTGCCATGGCTGAACCAATCAGATTCTTGTTTATATTAAGATCTACCATAGCAGTGACACTAGTTTTGAGAACGTTCTTTACAATATTACTTGGAATGACAGCTTCACACACCACAGATTTTCCCCTGCCTTCAATCCTAAAATAATAAATAGAAGTCATTATCATATTTGAATTCTAGAAACATGTACACTGTATATACTTTATTTATGGTTTCACTTGTATATTCTTTCTTAAATCAACAGGAATTTAAGATTTCAGAAACTTTTAACTTCTGCTGATGAACATGATAATGTGTACAACAACTATAAAGCTAAATTCACATGTATTAAATAATCATGAATTTTGGCTTCTGTCAACCAATACCTGACCAAGTTTCTATAGCCATGAAAACCTCAACAAAAGTCAATTTTATAAAGCAAATCGCCCCTATACAAATGAGAGTCGGTAAGACATTACAAAGCATTGTTCCTTTCAATCAATTTTTTAAAAGATTTCAGGATAATTAGAGAAAATAAATTTTACATCGCTTTCTAAATAACCAGTAGTGTATTTGAATGAAAAAATCTACAAGCTTCATAAATTTAGTTAGCCTGTGTGGTAATTTAAGTCCAAGTACAAACCTTCATGAACTTTTTAATCATGTGAATATTTTTTTTTAAATATAAAACACAGCAGTCTCACTGTACAATACTCTGTCCTCAAATCAAGTCAGAAGTAAAATGCAAACAGTACTTTGTAAATTATCAGATAAATACATAAATTGTTGTAACACTACCTATCCAATTTTATTGCAAGAAGCCCTGAAGGTAATTTGACATTAGCAACAATAGTTATACATTCATCTCTTGACATTATATAAAACATAAGAACCATGCATTGAAATGCCACCTACCAGTTTACAGCTGCTGGTTTTTTGTCTGTGCAGTAATTTCCACTCAGACTGAGAAGTTCCATCTCGGGGAACAATTCATTCACATGATGGAGAACTTTCTCAGAGCCCTGGCAAAAAAAGCATGAGGGATAATTAGCAGAACTAGAAAACTGACCAGTCAGCAAGGGCCCCGCCATGGGATAGAATTAAAGGGGTGCAGCTTATGGAATGATTCAAAAATATATGAAGAATAAGCAACTCTGTTCTTAAAATTTCAAGAAATTCCTGAATATCCCAAAACCTGTAAATAATATCCTTGTATTTACATAAGTTAATAAAGAACAACTCGTTATATAAAATGCCAGCCATCATTGAATGCAAATATCATGAAGGATTGACCTTAACTTCAAAACAAACAGCAGTTGCATACAAAGGTTTTCATTAATTTAAAGTGACAGATAAAGATAAGCTTTCTAAATTTTCTGCAGCAGACGAAATAATTAATCCCAAGGGATTAATTGTACTTCTCTCTCATTTTCTTTTAAATTTATAAAAAGAACTTTTTCATTACTGATAGAATGACGTTTTCATCAAGTTAACCTTAAAAATTGATATTCATGAATTTACATAAAGCAAAAAATAAAAAATAAAAAAATATATCTTCTCTTCTAATCTGTTTCTTGTTTTTAGAATTCAATGAAATTAGAACTCATTGTGCAGGATATTTTAACAAAAATTAAGTACATGTATAAACCTTTATCATACTTAAATCCACATTTCAGAGTGTTCATAGCATTCCAAATTGACTTTAACTTCAAAACAAATTTCATTTGCAGACAGAGGTGGTAATTCATGTCAGTGTGAAAGATAAAGATAATGTTCTGAATTTTCTTCAGGAGGAAAGCTAATTAATCCCAAGAGACTAATTGCAATATTCAGTTTACAATGGGAACATTTTCAGCAGTTATCTTTCTTTGCCAATTCATTCTTATATAAAGTTAAGGAATCTACCCCACCACATCAGCTCCAAACCAGAAGACATATTCAGTTTACAATGGGAACATTTTCAACAGTTATCTTTCTTTGCCAATTCATTCTTATATAAAGTTAAGGAATCTACCCCACCACACCAGCTCCAAACCAGAAGACATAGAGAAACAAATTTAGCATCAAAATATGTCTTTGTGCCTACTGAACTACCATACCAAATTTGAACTTAATTGGGCAACCATAAAAAAAAGTTATTAGAAAAAAACAGAAAATTTGTGGACGGAAGAATGACAGACAGACGGACAGACAGAGTGATTACTATAGGGCACCCGCAAATCCTTGCGGGGCCCTAATAAAGAATACAAAAATATTTCATATATTGAAATTTTAGTGGAATAGTAAAGTTACGGCAGCCAATATATTTTCCCCATGTTTTAGATGTATTACCTTGGAAAGCATGTTCATTCCCATGGCATCCCCAGTACTGGCAATAAAACGTACATAGAGTAGTCGACCAGCTTGTGCAATGTGCAACTTGTTTAAACGAGCAAAACTGAAAAAATACACATATTAAGTTATCTTTAGTATATTTGCAACAATCAAATGTGGGGTTGTCTATTTTTTGTGGATAAACAACATAAAATTTTAATGGAAAATCTTTCCTTACCGACTTGTCTCATCAAATATCGTTTTTAATGAAGAGAAGTTGCCTTCCATCCATTCTTTCAAATTGCTGTAAAAGAAGAAATTAATTTATATAAACATGTATTTATGCATGTTAAAAATGAATATATTTCAGAATTTGTAAGGTGCACAAACCTGGCCTCTATGGCATTAGGCATGCGTACAACCGGAGCTCTGGTCATGCCATCTCCAATCACAACACTGCAGACGCCTTTGCTCATCTAAAATTATCAATGTATTTTATCTCTATAAATATAAATAAATATTAGGAACATTTCAAACCAAAATTTCATAAATTTAAGTACAAAACCTAAGTGTTTTGACTTTCCAGTGCAGTTTGTCCAAAACTGTCCATTAAATGTTCAAGTTTTTCACTCATCTTATCGAGAAACTATTTTTAAGGCAATTGTTTTGATGTTTAAATAAAAATGTCATTGATATTTATAATGCTGTAGAATAACCAATTACTCCTTTTTTTATCTTTTGTCTAAATGTACGAAACCAGAATCTTTTGTATACTACTGTTTATACCTCCAGTGCCCTGCATCCCCTATTTGTGCTGGCCACCAGACAACCCTCTGTGGTAGCCATTGGAATGTAAAACTTCTGACCGTCCAGTAACAGGGGACCAGCTTTACCTACTGGGACTGGCATGTAACCCAGAACATTCTCACAGCAAGCACCATTTACCTGTTGTACAAAACAAAAAAACTTTATCAACAGAAGCCTTTTGTTAATAACTAGTACATGTAGTTTCACAATTGTTCTATTGTTCTTCCAATGCTTGTGCAAGAAACTTACAAGAGTTGCATGAGTTTTCATCATCTCAACTACATTTATGGGACAATGGGTGCGTTCACAGTTCTGCCGTTGGTAGACAAAAGTTGCCGTTGGTAAAATTAATTACCATAGGCATGCCAGTGGTACCAATGTTTTTCGCCAATGGTATATTTTTCTGCAGACAGTCTAGAGTGTGGTTAATGTTGGTAAATGACGTCACAGCTAGTTATTGACATGGCAACAAGCTAGAAAGACTTGGATCATGGATTCACAATGATATAAACGATTTTTCCTCTAAGCCTTTTTAACAAATCATGCCAAAATCACATAAAAATCATATCAAACACTTAATTTCATGATTTTGAAGTATGATTTAGACATGATCCATTAAATGGATTATGTAAAACTCATAGATATGGCAACTAAAGAAGTGTGATCCTGATGTGGTTTGTTTCTCGGCTATGAGTCTGCTATAATTTTCCTGCGATTCTGGCATGTGCCAATATCTTAGAAGACAAAGAAATCTGTAAT